CCGTTTTTGTGGGGAGGGTCTTCAAAATACCTTCAAAATGTAAGCTTACATTTCAAGGCCCCCCTCAAAAACACATTGAAAAGTGTAGCTTACATTTTGGGTACGTCCCCCCCTTAACACGGTGGTGATGTAAAATGATTCTTCAATACGAAAACTATAGGTAAATATGTCTGTTGGTTTGCTCCATCGTTTCCCTATGGTGCAGCAGTTCTGGGAGTTCATGTGAAGATCGGAAGATGCCGGCCCCGCGGAACCAGGATTTTGAAGACTACCTTCAAAACGCCATCGGTTTCGAAAAGGTGGATGTGATTGAACCGCCAGGTGTGGACCTGTCCTGCTTTCCTGGCAGTGCGTGACATCGCCGTATTTTGTATTGGTACTTTCAACAGTGGGTCTGAAAATGGTGTATACACAGAACAAAGCCATTTAATGGAGAAAACTACGATAAACAAATGGGTTTCGGGGTACTCTATTTTCTTTCAGACAAACCCAAATGCTTAAAGGCATATTTCAATTTCCAATAGGCCATCCGCATACTGGAAGATGTTTGCTGGAATAGTTTTCTCCTGGAACACTTTTTCCCGGAGAGTACTGGATGATACCAGGGGAGGCACCCTAATAGGAACATGTTCTAGTGATGGTTTGAGATACTTGGACATCATCGTTGAAGATGTACGATAATTCCTCACCACCCCATATCCCAACAGGAAATGTGAGTGCATGCAAGTCCTTGGAAGTGCCGCTTTGGAAGATTTCTTAACTCTGAAGTGTGGTGGGTGGAGACATCACTTTGTGAATCTTTATGATAAGATGTTAGTAGTTATATGGAAAGTTATGTGAAGATCCGCATCCTTAATTTCTAGTCAACAATCTATGTACATACACTATGACAATTCATTGTCCTATTTGCTGCCCAGCAGAATGAATAGTTGAAAGCTCCCAGCCTCATGCCTTTTGGATACGGGGTGATATTTGGGGTTTCAATATTGATCATGGATTTTGCTGCTTGCCTTGTTGGGACTTCCATGTTTTTGTTTCCCGGTCTAAATCTGGAATGCAAATTTGGAATTTATTGTTTGAAAGCTTGGAAAGCAAACATCTAGAAACATATTCCAACATGTCAGGTACATCATGGAGTATTATTCTGAGACCAGGTGGAACTGTTGTTTTTTGTTTTATGTTTTTTGTTTTTCCATGGGTACCGTGACAAGGGGTAGCCAAGGGGGGCCCATGTCTCAAGTCTTAAAATTATTCACTATGGACTATGGACTATGGGCGTGTGGATTTTTCAGATTTTGTGGGATGGGTGGAGGCCATGAACGAAATTAGTAAACAATACCTCCCCGGCATCTTGTGCCTTGGGTAACTTTAAATCCTTGACCCCCTCAAGCTGGTTCTGAACATTATAAATAAAAAGAACATGTTGATCAGAAATGACTATATATATATATAGAACCATGTTGGTCTTTATTTTTCGAACCATGGCCAGTCTGACCAACCTTTTAATAATAGAATCATCTAGAAGCGCCTTGTCTACCCATGACCAACCACGACCAACCGGGTCCCCGGGTCGGCAGGTGATTTGCCGCCCAACTTCCAGCGCCGCCTCCGAATCTTCCGCCGGCCACTGGAGGTCGATGTGGCTACCTGGTGGTTGAGAAATGTTGCGGTTGATAGATGGTAAAGATCCCATTATTTATAGGCTTTCAATGGCTTTCAACCATCCAAAATTGGTGGTGCAGGATTTTGCTGGCCCATCCAAAATATATGAGTTTATCATGGAAGATTTGATTTGTTTTAGTTGGATAGTTGGGTTATTGAACAGTTTTAGGTGTCCAGCAATTTGCATAGGAGAAGACGCTGAATCTATAATTAATGGCATCCCGGAACGGTTGGTTTCAGGATAGTCTACAAAGTGGTCATTCAGTTGGAATATGGCAATGTGTTTCATTGTTCCTTAGCCTATTCCTTAGCCATAGGATCCATGTATGGTATATATGCTAACATTTGGGGTATATTGATGGTAAATGTTACCATATATAGCATACATGGATCCTATGGGTTAGCTATGTTTCTTCCAAAGCCATTGTTTTGCAATGTGTATTTCATTTCAGGTGTGCAAGACCAGAGGTCCCATTAAAAAATTGGTGCTTCAACAATCACCTAGCAGCGACCTAGCAGCCTAGCACATCCCTATAGTCACACAACATTGCCATTGTCGAAATCTCCACCAGTTGCAGGAGGAGGAGGAAGTTCAACAGCCTGAGGCGAAACCCCGCAAGCGCAAGCGCGCAGCATGATGCGGCAGGGGTTCACCATTTGTGCAGAGACAAAAAAGATGGTACGCTCAATGCAGGACCTGCAACCGCAACATGTTGGAATAGGCGGATGTTTGGTGATGAATGCGAGCATGTGCTGCTTATCACTGTGATCCCGGTAAGAATGTTCCCTCGAAGTATGACTTGAACATACTTGAACCACCTTGAAAGCTATCCCTGACATCTGTAGATTTAGGGGCGGGGATACAGAGAGACGGAGATTTCGAACCTGAGGTGTGACGCTATGGTGGTGGGCTAAGTCCAGCTGAGGGGAAGGGGCGCATCCAAAGAAATACATTTCTTGACGGAATATGATAATATGGTGATCAACCATGAAAATTGGGGTGCCCAATGTTCAGACAATATGACAAACCTATTTACTGTGTACATGTTTATTTATCTTATGTGTGTGTGTACTATTGTGTACTTCTTGATTTCACTGATCATGAGATAGCAGTTGTATGCAGCTGTATACGGTTGTAATGTAGGTCATTCGCACATGTCGACATATTGATTATATTATAAAGTATATATATAATATTAGGGGCTTTGTATTATTTGTGACCACCACGTGTTTGTATGTTTGCATTTGGCATGATCAATAAAACAAATGAGCCACCGCAAAAAACCCGGCAATACTAAATATGTATTGGACGGACATTGGTTTATGGAAATTGACGGAAATTAATAAAACCCCACGGTAAGCGATGGGACCTTCCCAAATTAGCGATACCCCTTTTCAAGGTTATGTCATTGTATTTCTCTAATATCCACATTAGCGATACCCAAATTGGACATTGATTTCTGTGAATTATATACAAAAATGTAGCAGTTTCCTGCAAGCGTTACCCCCCAAGTTTACCATATATCATTATTGTACAAACGTGTGGTAAGCGATGGGACCTTCCCAAATTTGTGGATGTCCTTTCCGTGAACCTAGGGTTTTCGAGATTGCTCAAATAATGATGACCAGCTCCGCATAGACATGACCATACACAGCGTATATAGATGGAAAGGAAATTGAACATACCTTGGACATACAACCGGATAGTTGGACTCGGATTGGATTTGACCTAGCTAACTACTTGGTGGTTCATACCAGTGGGTCATAACTGGACTAATCCGACGTCACATCATCCCCGAAAAAAGCCAGAAATGGATGGCGTTTTTGCATTCCAAAGATTGAAGAGTGAAAAATCCTTGGGTTTACCACATTCTTCAAGAAACACGGATGTTTTGCACCCAACTGATCCATTTGATCACACATTACCATATGGTAGTCGTCAAAGCGGTGCTTTTTGTAACACAGAATTGGCCCAGAATGGATTAGAATTTCAAAACAATTGCAACTTCCACGCAGTATAATATTTTGGCATCATTTTGCTATGTCATTGGAATCCTCCCAAAAAACAACATGATTAGAACACTGTGATGGTCAAGTTTCACGAGTTTGTTACTTATGGAGATGGCATCGGCGTTTGGCTCCAGGACTGGACCTTCCTAAAGGGAAGGCCCAGTTGATGTGTATGACTGGGGGGATAGCCATCAAATGACAATGTGAAAGGGAAAATGAGGTTTTAAAGACCCTTGGATTTTAAGGGAGCCTCATTTTCAGACAAACCCAACTAGTCAGTGATTCACTTTCTTGGTGTTGTTTGTCGTATTTGCATCCACATGTTTGTCCACACGCAGTTTTGGGAGGCTGGAAGCACTCATTTGAAACTTGATCATTCTATTTGCCCAAGCATAGCCAAAATAGCACGTGTCGATCGCAAGAGAGGATCGCAATTGTTTGGATTCCATTCAAGGGAGTGCCGACAGTTCAAACATCCATATAATTATCATGATTTACTCTATGCACCCCAGAAACTCACATAAAACAACTTGGCATGAAGTTCTTTCCTCAAACAAATGCATCATATGTTGGCTTAGAATCCATATAATTATATATATATATATATAAATTGTGTGTGTTATTGCGGGCAAAACATTTCAGGGTGACCTTTATGGGCCTTTATTAGGGGTACCAAACTCGCCATGGATTTTTCCCCGGTAGAGAGATGTTGTTGGCTCCTTGGCATGATGGGGCCTGCCGGGGCCTGCTGATAAGTCTCAGTTCTATGGAGAACATTACCCGTTACCCCTGTTGTTGACCAATTTTTCTAGGTACTGGGAGGGATTTGGAGGTCGGGATCAATCAATGATACTAATTCATATCACCCACCCAGAAAGATGGATGGCGCCCAAAAACAGAAACAAATGGAGAAATGGACAAAAGGCGCCTGGTGTCACCTTGGGTGAAGTTTCGGGTACTGTCAGGCAGCGGTGCAGCCTGTGATGAAGGGATTCTCGGCACCCGTCTGGGAAGTTGTGGCCACATGGTTTGGGGACTGACTGGGTCGTCATTTTTCATCCATAATCCAGGGATAAGCATACGCCATATAGACAAAATCCCATTAGTGTATATTATATACTGTATATAGTGTGTGTGTATAAATAAATAAATATATAAATATAAATAGATAGATATATATATATATTATACATGTTACACACACACATATATATATATATATATATCCAAGCCTTCCTGCCACATTGCCTTTTTTTTTGCCCTGAGATTCATGCCGATCCGAATTTGGTTCATCGGATGTCTGGTTTTTCAAAAGCACTGCGCCAAGGATGCCCTTAGGGCAGTGGTCAGGGCACATTTGGGCGGGCAAAGATCTCGACCCTTTGGCGCCTTTGGAGTCTCGCAGCCCCACACCCCAGGCGGTGCGGATGAAGGGTGCCCATGGCCCATGGCCCATGGTTGAGAACATCATATTACATAAATATACAACAAAATGCCCATAATACTACTTTATAATACTACTATATAAGAACGGTTCTACCACCTCAAATCGCCATAAACAGCAAACAACTTGGAATTCAATTGTGGTATTCCCAATTTTTGGACAGACCCACTGAGATTCCTGCTATATTTACCGCTCAGCGACTAAATCATTGGCGAGCATGGGCTGTTAGGGTTCAAAGATTATCCATGGTGCATGGCTACGTGGCACATCAAGGTGTGTAGCTTGTAAAGTCGTGGTTCGGTACACATGTTGTTTTTTTCCATTTTCAGGGGCTAAAAGTGCGGTCTCCTCTCCCGCAGCGGCAGATTCCATGGCGTGCTTGCACACCATCAACGCCACTGTCAAGACTGGCAACTCAGCCGCATGGATGGTGATGTATACAATGTATACGTGATTTTCGACCAAAATGTGGGATTCACCCAATGTCATTAACCATCCCCAAGTCATCATCATTTGTATGGGTGGGATTGGAACCATCAGTCGTGGTAGCTGGCCCAGGACACACGTAGCCCTGCCATCCCTTCGCGGAATGGTTTTCAGTCACGGTGTTCCACCAGTGACTCGTCGCGTTGTTTAAGGCCTCAACAAATGGAGTATTTTTCTTGGGCAAGGCATCCCCAGATGCTCCATGTATGGTATATGTAGACCATATATTTACCTACAGCTGGTTGATGCTGGGTGTTTTTGGGAGTAAATGTTGATAACTAGTCCATACATTGAGCATATTGGATTTTTTTAATGACCTTCAAATAAGCACGGTTGGGGATTGACTCTGCTAGCGTGCCCTTGGTAGGTAACGTGTAAACACTCTACAAGGAGTTGTTCAGCAGCAAGAAGATTTGTTTGGAATTAGCATCGCTGATCCACAAGTCACTACCCTTTGGCAACTTAATATAGATATGAAAAATTAACTGAAATCACAATGTTTCATAGATATACCGATAAACCATGATAAACCATCTTGTCTATTACTATAAATGTGCCTATTTCAAAAGTTATGCCACATTTCCCCATGGTAAGTATCGACACGCATCTACAAGTTACATGAATATGTTTTTCCTCAGCTGAAAGCCTTATAGACACGTTGCTTCGGAAGATGACAATCCCCATCATGATTCCCAAGCCTGTCCTCCGGTCCGTGACATATCCAAGATGTGACCTTTTTTCAGGTGATATGTTAAATTCAGCAAGAATTTCATTCGATATATTGGGGATATTAGATGTTCTTTTATTATCATTATTTGAGTGGAAGAATTCCTGCACCGCACCATTTGGTCGATGGTTTGCATATCCCGTTATAACCCCATTCTTTCCAGTGTGTCATAGGAATCCCAATAGTTCCTAACTGGTGCAGGATGTTGCACCCATCTACAGTTGTTCCCCATGACATTCTCATTGGCAGCGAAGCGAGGATGCACGACCCGCGCCTCCTCGCGCTTGTCCAATCGTGGCAAGGGCGCTACATTGTGGAGAACCGAGCCTGGGATGGGAATGATGGTTAATTGGGGGTGGCCCCACTTAGTCAAGTCAATGGCTGGAAAACCTTTGTACAGACAATATATATACAATATATACATATATATATGGTATATCCCCTTATTTTTTGGGGATTATATGAGTGTGTATATATATTATATATATACATATATATGTATGTGTGTGTAATGTATGGGTTATAAACCACGGATCCTAAGTGGGATGCACATTCCAAGTAAGGATCTCATAGGATCTCATAGGTAAGGTGACTTAAGTATGTCACTGTCCTTATCTCGGTGAATTATGAGGATCTCACTGGAAGGAACGATGGGGAATGATGGGGAATTATCCCACAGGAAAGCCATGGTTAGCCTTATGTCAGCTTAGTGAATGATGATTTGGCCTCATTATTTGATATGGTAAAATTTAGCCAAATCATCATTCACTAACCAATCATTAACCATTATGGTTCACTTTCATCATGCGATGGTAAAGTTTAGCGACCCCCACTTGACCACACCAATTCGCTGATGGGAATTGGGGAAAAGATCATCTCCACCTGGCGGAACTAATCTGCAGGACATGTTGCTGTTTTGTTACCCCCAAAACAGCGCAAGACAATGCAAGTTAACGCGGAAAAACATGGAAGATTGAGGATGTTCTCCATGTTCATCACTCCAACAAATTGATACTTAACATGTCAATTCCAACTTAAACCTAGAAACATGATGAAACATGGTGATATTAAATGGATACATGATTGAGCAAACCATTTAAGGTCGCCTTGAAGGAATTGTCCAAGAACATGGGGAAAAAAGATAGAACAGCAATTCATGACTATCTCAGTAGGACTATAAGAATTTACTTTTCTATTTTTGTTTGGGTTGCTATGCATGTACTGTGGCCCCAATGTGAGGTGTGTCTTCATAGTTTGTGGTTGTCACTGATGGAGATTGGCCAACTGCGGGACGGTAATGTTTGTTTGCTGAATCCGATCAGCCCAGGTTGATCGAAATTTATCGCATAATATGTCATAAACTATAGGGTATACCATTCCAACTCCTCAACCCAAAGCATGAACTAACCATGTATTCCTCCATAACAATGCAAGGTCAATATGTTAACCATCCATAAAATTGCTGCCCCAGACATGTTGAGGGCAAGAAGTGCCCATCAGCTATCGGATTTCAAGGCCAAAACGCCGTCATTCGAGACACCAAGACCATTGTCGCCCAAATCCGACAGCGACGATGAGGACAGATGCTGCGGAGCAGTTGGTGTCTAGACGATTGATGGAACAGCTCCTAATGAGTTTTGTCGGAATCCTAGATTGCTAGGAAAAAACGCCTCAGCATACCTCCGCATTGAAAATCATTTATCACTTGAAAATCTTAAAATCCCAGCTTTCAGAAAGCATGGCATTTGTGCAGGCTCACCTGCCATGTCCAGGAGCGGCAACTGGTCAAACAAGCCCAGACCATCCGAAAGTGGTCCTGTTCCACCCAGGTCGGCACGGGAGTTTGCCATGGGCCGCCAATGCCCAACGCGCCGGACCTACACTCAGCGCAAAATTACAACAACTGGTTGGTGGTTCGGAACATTGTTAATATTGGTTAATCATAAATATATCGTTAATATATGGAAATACATGGTTAATATATGGAATTGTATGAATTTCCATATGTTAGGAATGTCATAATCCCAACTGACTTTAACTCCATTTTTCAGAGGGGTAGGTAGGTATACCACCAACCAGATAATTAACCAGATAATTAACCATCATGAATCACTATTAATCACCATTAACCACCATCAATCACCAACCAGACAATTTGTTGGGGGTCCCAAGGGTCATAGCGCTGCCAGGGCATCCCATCTCCCACTGATTGCCACTGATTCCGTGCCACGTGCCAGTCCTACGCGGGCTTCAAGCCCTTCACTTCGCTCATTGAAGCGAGTGAACCACTGTTGGAGCCAGAAACTTGGAAGCGAAGTGGCTATGTTGGGTCATGTTGGGTCCATAGCCTTCAACCGGTGAATGCTTGGTGAATGCTTGGTGAACACATTCGAATGATTCTATGTATTACCAAAACATGTAGGAATATAATATGATAGATATGATAGGTGACCATGTGGTCTATCCAAGATCACTGCATTACCCAAGTAGTCATCGGATATCATTGCATGTTTTAGTCCCTCGTGAGTTTCAACCATGAGTCATGCCTGGACTGATTCAGCCCTTCGGAAAGCTTGCAGCTGGAGCCCACGTTTACTGCATTCAAACTTAATTTTCCTCATAAGGGGATTTTGGGTTGCAAGTCAGATTTTAGCCCCAAGTTTTGTTGTTTAACATCCCAATGAAAAGGGTTTGTCAAAAAACACACTCCAATGATGCATATCATTTGTTTAATTTTTTTTCCTCCCGAGGCTCCCATATCATATTGTTGATTTAATACTTCATGAGATATCCCAAGTCACATGGCCATCAACACGTTCCATTCATATCCTAAGTATATCATAGTATATCCTTATTCTTTACATTTCTTCATTATGGCAATAACTCCACCCAGTTTTTGTTGGTGAAAAAAATCCATAGAAACCTTCTGGTTTCATCAAAGATGGCAGTGGAAAATCCACCATTTATTGATGACTTCCCTCCAAAAAAATGCTAATTTATAAGGGCTTTTCCAGCCAGCCATGTTTGACTACCAGAGTGCCATGTTTGCAAATTCAAGTTCTGTATAGTTCGGTAGTTTAACATCCCCGTGACATCCCCCAGGAAACACCCTTAGATCGTCAGATGCTGATGCTATACCATGCTTCCTTGGAGCTTACTGAGGCGGGAAATAGTGACCAAGCATCACTTTAAGTGGTTGAGGGACTCTTCCTCCGCAATCATTGGGGGTTTCCTAAAATGGGGGTACCCCAAAACCCATAACCATGAGTTTCTGTGCAAAATGGTCTAAGTTTGGAGGATTTGGGGTACCTCTATTTTAGGAAACCACCAATTAAGGTGTACCCTAGGACTTCCCGAGGGCAAACTTTCATCGATGTTCAAAGCCCATGGTTTCTCTATGGAAATGGTCTACAAATGGTGGGATTTTCCACATCTATCTTGGCTTATGGATTCCAAGGGGACTTTACGGGCCCTGACCTTTCAAGTACTTCTGAGATAGGTGTTTATAAGTTATAAGGTAATTTTACTGTATGATTTTGGGGTTGGTTCCCCTAACAGACAGGTAACTGGAAGATGAGGGGGAGTAGAAATGGGATATAGACTAAATAACCAACAGGATGGGATATAGAGTAAATAACCAACAGGATCAGTATGATGTGGGTTTGTCCCAAAATTGAGTCTTTCTCCCCAACAGAAATTACCTTATGAAAAAAACAAGCAGTAACATAGCAGGACCCCAGATTTACTTGTAGCATTGACTGTGCTTGCAGCACCTGAAGGGTGAAATGCAATATTCAGGTCACTAGTTTTGGAATTTTGGACATATCATTTTGTTAGGCTTTTCTTTGGTGGTCGCCAATTTTAGAAACAAACTTTTAGGACCACTGATATGATGGCGGAAATGCTCCCCGAACAAAATGAGGCTAAGCATCAGCAAACCTAAACTGGCAGCAGAAAATAAGGGCTTTTGACAGGTGAACCATCTGCAAATGGCTGATTTGTGATTGCCACGTTATTTTATGGAAGGTGATTTCTGCTTAGGTCGAAGTTGGACTTTGATGATCAGGAGTTTAGCCAAGTGATGCTGGTTGGGAGGGATTGTATATACAACAATCCATACAACCCCGGTCCCCCAAACCATGTATTAAAAAAAAACGGATTTCACAGGATGCTTCCCCCAAGTCATGAGGGTGTTTATAGCCACCATTAACATCCATTGACCATGATCAATGGCCATTCCAGGAACCTAAATTGGAGGTACCTACCATACATAAGGCCTATGTAAGGCCTATGTAAGGGAATATTCCCCCAAAATATGGCCTTATATGGTACAGTACCTCCATTTTAGGATCCTGAAATTCCCATTGACATGATTGGATTTTGTATCTATACCTGTTTCAAGCCTAGCGAAAGTGGGGCTATGTTTTCCAAGTTCGCTAACGAAATGGGGCACCAACAACATCATGAATCCCTGTACAGCCCCATATCCCATAAAATATCATATACATATATATATATAGAAACAATTCACCATTCTGTTGTCCAAAATGTGGTTTTTGAAAACCCGTAAAGACCAATGAAATCACAATTTCTGTTGGTTAAACCTCTGCAACCGGCGATGGTCTCCGCAGGTTGGGATCAGCACAGTAATGGCTCCCACAGTGGCGCGGCGCTTCAAAACAGCATTGGAAGTGGTCGAGACAAGTGAGAGACGTGGTAGCACCATTGTGGGTCGGAATGTTATGGATGTTATGGCAATGGGATACGGTGGAAATCCTGTTGATAGGTGGTAAAGATCCCATTATTTATAGGGTTTCAACTACCACCCAAGGTGATGCAGGATTTCGCAACCATCCACCGTAGTACTCACATGAATCTTGGGATTTTTTGCGATACAAACCATAGAAAGTTGGGAATGTATGATGGAGATAATACTGGAGGTATAGCCAACCATATTGATGTTTCACTGGGGTTTGAATTGGATTAAACTCCAGTATAATTAATCAGGCAGCAATGGGAAATCCCCATCAAAAATTGAGGTGTTTATGTAACATTCATCTATAATATAATTGGCGGATTGTCCATTGCCAATGGTTATATAATAGTTTTTTTTGTTTTAAATGGTGGTTCAATTGCGAATAATAATGGAACCAACCATTTAGGCGGATTTACCCAGATATAATGGGGGAGAAAAGAGCATTGAAGGGGATATAATGGGGAATGTAATGGGATATGTCAATTGTATTATATGCCACATCTGTAACTTAGAATGTGGCTTTGGAAACCTGGGAGGCATTCTAAGTTACAGATATGGCATATAAATTGTATACCTAAAACCAACGACATATTTGACTCAGCCTTTGCTTTTCGTCGGTGATTTGGTTCTTCTTTTCCCGGCGCTGTCTGGGGGAGTGTTCACCAGACATTTTCACTGATCGCCTCACTGCCGAGAAGGCGGAAATAGGTGGTTATATGACATCACCAAACAGACATGGAGCAATGAAGCAAAGACGACAAAACCATATAAAACATCAATGTTTTGGCGAGATTTGGCATCATTCGTCACTTGATATCACTTTTTTTTGTTGTTAAAAGTTGAAGAATGATTCTGATCGTGCAGCACGGGGTAGTATTGGAGGAACACTCCCGGGAGTCCCATGAGTGGCACGGGCATGGCATGTTTGGCATGGGCACGCAACGTATCGGACTATTAACGTTGTGATTTCATGGGACCTGGGATGTATTGTTTTTATTATATATATATGTGTGTGTGTACTGTATATAAAATATGATGTCCGTTTGTTTTCCATGTTTTTTTTTTGCATTATTCCTTTCGTGGCATGATACTAAGGCTCAATGGTTTGGATGAAGTGCCGGACCCTTTCTACGAGGACTTGTTCAAAGAAGCCATGGAGGCTTACACCATCTATGGTCGGATGGAATCCATCGTGAGCCCTGGCTGAATCTGGCTGAAGGCTGTAGAAGGTCGGTAGATGGCCCCCAAAACCATCTCCATTTATGGGGAATATATGGGTTTATCATGGGGAATGTATGAGAATAACATGACTTACTTGCGCTAAACGTAGGGAATTTTCGGGAATGATCCACTGGCTAACTATCAATAATAATCCCAGCAACCCCCAGCAACCCATCCATTCCCTACGCTTAGCACCAGTAAGAAAATGAGTTTGAATGTTGGTGACATTGGTGACCGTTTCGATCCGTAAAATTGACGCAGCCCACCATCATTTGACAGGTGAGTGGTTTGCTGGCAAGGAAACATCAGTTTCAAAACATATAGAATGACATAGAACCACTATGAACCATTAAAACCGGAAGTAGCTCAGTGTAGCTCCACAAGATTTCGAGGTGGCTGCAGGTAGCTTCCTGATTTGTGACTGAAATCGGGTGAAGAATCCCATGGCAACTACTGGGACCACTGACTGGGAGTTTAAGATCTACGATTCTGCAATGATTTCTTCATAAACCATATCTGTCTGTAATATTCTGTGATGTGTTTTTATTCTTGCTCTACGCTCTACACATTCCCTGATCCCAGATCAAAATCCCATTCATGTTGGTTACATCTCCATGCCATCTCAGTAAATTCCCATAAAGTTGTTGGTTAAACCATTCAACAAGCATAAAACAATCCATTAAACACGTTTATATATTATATATATATAAATTATATATATATTATATATATATATATATCTATGCAATTTGATCATGAATGGTCATCAATTGATTCGAAATCCAATTAAATCATTGGAATATTGTATGCCACAGGCAAGATTGAACATACACACACACACATATATATATATACACACATATATATATATATATATTTATACACAATTGTTCAATGAATATCCCGTTATAACCATTGCTTGGATTTTCCCATGACACGCGTGTTAAAGGTGTGAGATGGAACTCCTGATCGATGGCGTGTTAAAGGTCCTGGATGACGAGGGGGACCATGACTTCGACATCCTGACGGGCAAGGTGTGCGAAACCACAGCACGGGGGAGACCACTACCCTCTGGTAAACATACAAAAAACTATTGAACATGGCAATTTTTACCCATTGAAAATTGTGATTTTCTATAGTTATGGGACAGCTTACCAGAGGGTATATTGTGGGATTTTTCATGTTTTGTAACACCATCTGAGTTTTGGGGATATATTTGGCTCACAGGGATTTAATGCCAAGATGTTCCCGGTGGCCGGTGGAACCGGGACCCGATGGGACGTTGCCCCAATCGTTTTGCGAGGTGATTGGAGTTGGCTTAGCTCCAGATGAGGATGCCCCCGGGCTGCGTTTTCGAAGCGGCTAAAGCGGCGAAGATCCGCTAAATCTGATCTGTACCCGAGGAAAGATGTCGTTGGATCATGACAGGAAATCACATTAATTGCAATGAGTAGACACGTCAGTTGTGGTATCCTTTTTATATATACATATATATATATATACCTGGACATCTAAACGAACAAAAAAAAGTGTTCAACCCCTGAAACGAACACTAATTGCAAGTTCGTACCTGAATTGGTGAAACGAACCAAAATCTTGAAAACGAACACTTTTAGCTAAACGACCTGAAATCTGAGCCAGAAAGGGTCCCGTTGCCATTTCCATATCAAGAATGCCTCTGGGCACCACTGACTTCCCCAAATGGTGCGCCTATGATTTGTTTGTTTTGAATTCCCAGGGTGTGTGCAAGTGCACGCAGTCCACTGGCCCCTCCAGGTACTGCATTTGATTGTTCTGCTTCTTCTCCATGTCTCCAAAGGCCTGGCAATGCCAGATCTCAGATCTTAAACCAATTACATAAGATCAGTTTGTTGTTCAACCACACCACTTGCTTTGCCCACATGTATTTATACCTTTTTGGCAGCACTGGCTTCAAGGTTTCCTTTAGAGACTAGGTTTCCCAGGGAAGCCTTCTCTGTTGTTTGTGATGAGTTCGGGCAGTCGCAGTGACTTAGATGGTGATCAACGTGTGGATTGCCCAGTTCTTTTAGAGTGGCTGCAGCTTGATGGCTTGGTAGCCCGTGCGGCTACTGGGAAAATTGCAGACATCAGTGTTCTGCCTTTGTCCCGTGAAAGTGTGGCTGACAATGCAGAAGTGCTGGAACCCGTCGTTCGAGAATTTGGTTCCTTTGCTTAAGCAATTTTTCAGTCATATATATATATATATATGTTCCATAGTTCTAGTAAATGCTGCGCATGTTTTGGCTTTGGTGAATTAGGTAATTTTGTCGTGGTAAACCCGCGCCTCCATAACATGGGTCCATCCAGCTCCATTGTCTGAGGCACACGACCTAGCATCGCCCACATGATCGATCTCACGGCTCGGTTCTTGTATCTCACTCGACCCAGGGGCAAATCCCTACCAAAGAGTCGCTAAGTGGAAAATATTTGATTTATGTTGGTTCACTTGTCACTTTCCGTAGCTATAGGTGGTTGGAATGTTTTGACTTGTCCAACATTGTTCTACTTCATTTAAAATTGAATCGATTGTATCCTAGGCAGTAACATCAAGACTGAAGCCTGGATACTACGTCGCTTGATCAGCATCTTTGCCAAAGTGGCACGGAGACCCCACACACCCAGAGAGTTGGGTATCAGACGTCTTTGTGAAGCCGTTGGGATTCAATTTCCAACTGAAGGACTTCAGAAAACTGGGAGGGATAAACAATGATTCATATTGCATCGGCCACAATCCCTTTTCTCATAAAAGCAAAGTTCACCAATATACTGTGGGACCTACATGCTACACATAAGCTACACAGGAGATGAAGAACGTGAAGAGGATCAGGCTGACGAAGGTGACACTACTGGAGAGTCCATGGAATCGGAGGAAGAGTTCTGTGATGATGAAGTGGTAGATCTACCGGCTGAAGAGGAGAAGGACAGCCCTCAATCTATAATATGATATTTCCATATGATATTTCTATATGATATTTCTATATTTCTGCAGGTAATTCATATGTGAGATGAAACCAGTTGTTTACATACAGTAGGATCCAGCTGGACTTGCGATGTTCATTTCAATCATTTATAGGAAAACCTTACCTCGACCTCATCACCTACGGTTGTGACCAAGCCAAGTGCAGCTCCAGGTTTTTTGGTTGCAATCATGATGTCATGTTCTTGATGCCATCACATTTGAAACTCGATCCATTTCTTGGGGGTATAAATTGCACCATCTTGGTCCCAAATTGCCCAGGTCCCATTGCGGAGACAGGTAGCCTTGCTTGGAGTCCATCTGTGTCAGTCGTTGTGACGCCGCCGCCTCGTGTGTGTGGCTTTGGCAGCAATCATTTTAATTGGGTTCCTTGGCTCTCGGGCCACATGGGTAAGTTATGGTAAGGTACAGAATGCAATATATCTCGTCACATTATGTCACACTGATGTTTCTAGCATTCATACCGTACAAATGTCATTGATTCATGATTCATATCCTAAGGTACTGAGTCACCTTTGACCGGAATGAAGGAGTCCCGACATGATCCTGTGAAGTGTGGATGGGCATGTACCCGTTGCCATGCACATCATCGGAATCCCAAAGTGCTTGGGTTTGCCTACTGCAATGATAAGACTACGAACCACAAGCTGATAGAAACTGAAGCCATGTGCAAAACTTGTTTCGAGTTTGGTGCTTTGGAGAGCTTAAAAGTCAGCCCATGCCCCAAGAGTCTTTCTTTTGATGCCAATGAGAAAATTGAGAAGTCAGTGTCGGTGCCACCCCCGGTGGTGCCATGCGTGAATGAGAAGTCAGTGTCGGTGCCACCCCCTGTGAAAGATTTGAAGAAGGCAACTTCCCTACGTGCCGAACTTGATACGGCCAATCTGGAGCTCAAGCGTTTGGAGATCCTCAAGTCTTTGGCACTAGAAAGGCAGCTTTTGAAGGACTTGTTGGCCAAGAAAACGAAAGTATGTTTCTTGTTTGCACACATTTCCATTTACTTCCCATTTGGCATTTTGAAATGCACTTTTTGACAGCTCATGCGGGATTTACCAAAACAAGGTACGCTATGGTCTTACGCAGTTTTTTGTCTAAGCATGCATAAGGTCAAGATGCCTTTGACACTTTGCCTATGGGTGAAGAAGAAGCTGCATGTGTGGCAGCCGTGGAGGCTTACTTTATGGCTGTGAAAATTATCGCTCATCATACACGAGTAATTATATGAGAGTCAAAGCAATGTTGGCAATTGTATATTTATAATCAGTTAGTCGACGCCACTGCATTTTTTTGATGTATGTGAAATTTTGAAGCGTGCATTTTTTTTGCATACATGCGCGTAGGCAGCGAAGCCTTCGCCCAAAGCAGTTGTGACCAAAGAAGATTCAGAGACGTTGAGACTGAAGTTCCAAGGTGAAAAACTTTCAAAAACGCTTGTGATGGGGGAGTCGGCATGCCATGACAAAACCACCCCTGCAGACAAAAATGAGCACAGCAAGAAGAAAGAGGCGCCAGCAAACAGCGAGCAAGAACAAAAGAAAGGCAAGAAGAAGCATTGTCCACCAGCAGACTCAGCACCAGAACACGTAGGTGGCAGCAGCAGCAGCAGCAGCAAAGACAAAGAAACCATTGAGGTTCCAGCAGCTTTGGAGAATGAACCCAGCCCATCACCAGCTGATCAAACGGCAGCCTTGACCAACAGCAATCCCAAAAAGAAAGGTCGCCCAGCTAAGAACGCAGCACCCAATGGCAAACCGAAAGCTTCTGCAAAGAAAAGAGCAGCAAAAGCAAAGGCTAAGGCCAAGGCTAAAGCTAAGTCGAAGGCAGCAGCCAAAGCACGACAAGCAAAGACCACAGAGAGGACAACTCGAAAGAGGAAGGTGGAAATGGAGGATGAAGGAGAGGATGAAAGAGAGGATGAAGGAGAGGATGATGCAAGCCAGGAGCAAGAGGGAAGCGACCAGGAAATTCCCCATGATGAAAGCGCACAGGAGGAAACCTTGGAGTATGAGGTTGGGGCTGAGGTTGAACCAGCGGGCAGCAGGAAATCCCGAAAGAATGCAGCAAAGGATGACAAGCAATTGACCACCAACAAGACCGCAGCCAAGACGTTGAAGCGTAAGGCAGAGGCGCAGTACAAGTCAGGAACTGATGGGAATGATGATAATGATACTGATGTGAAGCCAAAGAAACCAGCAGCAGCAAAGGCAAAGAGCAAGACACGCAAAGCAAAAACACCAGATGCAAAGAACCCACGCAGCAAGGCCAAGGTGAAAGGTGAGGCTCAGGAGAAGGTGAACAAGACAAAGGGCAAGAAACGGAATGCTGTGAAAGGTGAGGAAGGGGATGGGGAGGCAGAGAGAAAGGCTATGCTTTCCAGAAAGTCATGCGCGTACAAGAAAGCACGTGGCGAAGCTCTCCGTGCCGGGCATTCGATGGAGGAAGCCACGGCCGCTGCAAAAGCAGCAACATGACTTACATTTTTTGCATTCAAAAATTATGTGCACTGGCTTTTGATACTTTAAAAACAAACGACACGTGAGTGGATCACACAATTTTTCAACACATAATCTCACATCCCACGCAGTTTGACTCACTTAGGCATACGCTGAAGCGAAGTGAAGCTGAGGAGTCAGTGAGCGGTGATCGGGGTGACTTATGAAGCTTGCTCCATGTCAAATAAGAAAAAAATAAAGCTTCTCTTGCTAGTCGATTCACATGAAAAAAATCTGACATCATCTTTATTTGGAGATGAAGCTTCACTTTGGGTTTCGGGGACACGTGGCACGATCAGCCACAGTGCTGTTAGCGTGACACATGTGGATTGCCATTGGCACTTCAAAAGCGAAGGAGATAAAGATCTTATCAATCGTGCCTGTTCTGGGTTTTGATCTGTTCTTGCATTCCCCAATGTAATATATAATATATTAGGTCCCCATTTGAATATCATATATCGTACTATAGTTCAGCCCTTGGTTTGGTACTTAAAACACTGCTCAACCCGTCAGGTGTGAGCCTTCAAGCTCTGATGTCTGGCTGGGAGATCAGAGCTAGCCTGTCGGGTGCCAACCCTCCATCTGTCGCACTGGAAATGGGATCGGGGAAACCTACAGCATACCATAGCTGCTACCTTTTGTGACCTTTTAGTTGAACACATTATTTGCTGAACATATTTGAAGATCGAAAAGCATTTGGCTTCAGATCCAGGGATCAGGTGTTTGAAAATCATGGCCCCGTCCACCCGAAGACTGACGGGATCGCTATTCCAAGCCCAAGCACCGAAGGTCAGATTTGTCATGTTGTGATTTCAGATTTCGATTCTGTTACATCACAAAAAATTAACACGACCCTGACACCTTTCACCTGCGAGGTGTTTATTGGAATCGTTGGATGCTTAAATTCCAAATGGTTGGTTTTGTCAATAAACTGTTCCTCAGTGGAAAAAAGTCACCAATATTAATTCTAAATTCTGTCTACCCCATCTGTTTTCCTGAGGTTTTACTCCTGTCCTGGAACTCCGAAGTGGCTTTCGATCGTGGTTACAGCCTGGTAGAAATATTTAGTGGACAGGGGTGTGTTTCCCAAAAATGGCACTTCATTTGCAAATTATGAGAGACATGTCAGACCTCGAATTGTTTGACTTGTCAACATGTCCAACATAGACAGTTCATATATGTTCACATATATCATCTTGTGCAAGTTGAGGCACAGTTTGGGGCACCAAGTGGCATCGCTGGATTACACGTATTCCGAGCGAAACATGGATTTCCTCTCAGTATCAGGTTTCGTGTAACCCTTCAGCATCTTAATTCCAACTTGATCGAGATATAGCTTCAGAAAAAAAAACGACTTGAGATAAAGTAAGCCTCCTTCCATGCATGACCCGTTGCCCAGGTTGAGCCTGTACTCGCTGCTCAATTTGGCGCCTCGCGGCCTTGCCCTGTTTGCACCTGACTGCAGCAGCTGGGGTATCCCATGCAGATTCACTTCTGGGCGATCATATATCAATCCACTTGGGCATGAAAATCTCTACAGATTTGTTGCCGGTGCAAATCTGATGGTAAGTCGGATCCTAGGTTGCCTTCTGAGTTCAACATCTTTACTTTAGGAACAGCTTGATAGAAAAAAACATGAACAACAACATGATAAATGCTGATCTAAGGATGACCCTATGCCTTCAGTTGATTGTATCTATGAGCTGCTTCTTCCTGGTGGAACAGCCCTCTCAGAGCCTACTGTTTCGCCATACTCGGTTTGAGTGGTTTTGCAACCGTGTAGCCTGGGTTACTTGGTTATAGTGTTGAAACTGCAGGACTTGAACGTAAGTATCAATAGATATTCATGTTTCAATTTTGACCAGGTACAAGTCACAAAGCTAAGGTATATTTTACCCGATTCTGGATGTTGCATCACGGTGCACCTTCGAGCAAAAGAACGGTATTTTGGGGAAACCTTCGAAGTATGTCTCTTCTTGATAAGGGGCGGCTCTCCCATACTGAACGAGATTCAAAAACATCTGTCAAGACCACACGACCCATGGTGATAAAAGAAAGACTTTGCAGGGATATGCATTTCATTTCGATTCATTTTTATTTTGCAAGTTCTTCCGTGCTTCATGGCATTACTATAGTTGTGGGGGTAGCTTCTTCATGGCCCAGGAAAGTATATGGGCAAGGACGGCTCGAAGCGCTTTGTTGGCCAGAAAGAAGCTCTTAAAAGCACCCAGCCCCTAGGCCCTAGACAGGAAGAATATGTGAAGCCGTTACATTTCTCAAATGTTTATATACCATATTTCAGCTTTGGTCCCAATCTGCGTGCCTAGGGCGTATCCTGAGCAACTTGGAGAATCAATTCATGAAGTATATATGGAGGAACTCAGGCTTCCACCAAGAGGTGATTTGCGAATCACTCGAACACTTGAGTCTGGGAAAGCCCCACATGAATGGTTTAGTGACATGCCACTTGGCGATACCTGGAGTGACGCTGACCTTTTCCCAGTGTTTGAATACCTCTACAAGTGTCGCCATACAAGGACCATTTGGGGAGTGGAAAGCATTCATGTGGTGATGTCAGTTATAATATTTTAATTTTATAGCCTAACCCATTTCTCCACCAGTGATATACCCTGCAGGCCTCAAAGGGAACACCTTTTTGCATTCCCTGTGCAGGATCCCCGACGAGTGGGCTCCGGTCATGAGGGATCTCTACAAAGAGTGGGACACTGTGGTGGCATATGGGTTATATGATCGTGTGTGTGTAATTATAGCTTGTCATTCTGCTGGGTTTGGTTCTTTATTGAGGGATGAATCTTGTTTGGTGGGATCCAAGGCAGAAATTCAAAAGTCCTGATGGACATAAGGAGCTGTCCAAAATTCGCATAGACCATTTTGTGTCAAAGTCGGTCAATTCGACAAAAACGGACCAGAGTTAATTTCGATTCGGTCTGTTTTTCTGTTTTGTACAACTTTTGCACCATGTCGGGGAAAAAACGGAGCGCAACTCGGGCGCAATTTTGCGCAACTCGGGCACAATTTTGCGCAACTCGGGCGCAATTTCAAAAAGTGTCTGTTTCGGAAATTGATTCGAACACTTTTCGTAGTTTTTATGGGTTGGACATGTTAGGAGTTCGGACTCCAAACATATTCGGAGGAAACCATTTGACAGTTCATGTGGAAAGTGAAAAAATCTGTATTGAGCAGCATTTCAATTCTAGCATTCTGATAGTCAGCCCCTTCATGTCTGACACTCGGCTTGCCTCTTGCCAAACTTTGGTATCTGGTGCCGATATGCTTGGTCAACATACCAACGGGCCTCAAGATGTGAAACCTGCAGACATCGACGAACTGATTCGGGCTACTAAGCTTAAACATAAAATGATGATGCATGAGTTGAAGTGGTTATATACATATTAGCCTGTCCTGCCCATCTCAAATCACCATCCTTGCCTCAATCCCTTCTTCAGGTTCAGCAAGAGAAGCTTGCAGCTTTGCGGAAGGAACTCCAAGAATGTGGAGAGCCTCCCGGAGAGTCTGAGGTGGAAATGGTGGAAGGTGTGTCTGTGATGGACATTTGACAATGGATAACAATGGTCAATGGTTATAGTTCATATTAGAATCAATTGATATGCGCTGTATTGCATTGACCCAAATCCTAATTCCAACCAATCTTGGGCAGGTGCTCCTAGCATAGCCCACGCCACGGGAGAGTATGTGCCGGGGCCCGCAGCAGAAACCCCGAAAAGTCCATGTGGAAAAACTCTGACTGACTTCACTCCGGAGTTGCAAGATGCCCAGACCCCAGAAACTCGAAAAGCCCATAGTTGCATGGCGCTTGCTGAATCTGACCTAGAACCAGAAGCGAAGGCCATGCCTGAAGGTGAGGTCGAGTCACCAGCAGAGCCTGCCAGCACCAAGCCGGTTGGGGCGAATGTGGTGACCAGTGAGAAGAATGAGAAAGATGCTTTGTACTGGAAGTTACCCAGCTGAATATTATCCCATACTCTTCATAGTGAAATTGCTATGAGTTTATTTATGGCCACTGATTCAATCCTACAGCCCTAACGTACATCCTCTTGTTCAGGCTTCGCCGTCACTGTGTTCTGAAGAAGGGTGCTTGCTCAAAGGCTGCTTTGCAAATGTGGAAGACTAAGGATGGCCGTACCTAGGCATTAAAAGAATCCTTCTGACAACTTGTAGCTCTTGAGAAGTCCTATCACAACTTATCATAACTTACCATATGCACACCGGCGGCACACCAGTGCCTCTTCAGCTATAGTCTTGAAATTGGCTAGGGAAAGACATGGTATAAGAATCATTCATGGGGACCTCCGATGAGTATTTCTTATCACTCTCCTTCGCTATGCTTTGCTACCAGGAAACAAGCTCAAACAGTTGATGATCCAGAACAACATGGACTTCAGCAACGTGGAGTTAGCTTTGAAAAAAACCCAGCGGAAGACCATTGGGCACCGGAAGGAGGGAAAGTGGGTGACCAAATTTTACTTGATGAACCATCTCTCATGGACCAAGACAAGGCCTCAGATGACTGCATAGATTAGCATTGAATAGCATTTACACGCTGGTTCTGAATGACATTCCAAAAGATCTTGATAAACCTCATAATCTGGATATGTGATTGCACTTCCTAAGGAAGATGGCGGACACCTCTTTCGAGTGGGCAGCCAAACAAAACCTTTTGAGGACCAATAGCATGCATGGAGAACAGGAAGCCAAATTGGTCCTTGAAGATGGCTTCTCATATGACCATGTTCAAGAAGAATCTGTTGAGCAATCTATGCACATGGAAGTCGAAGAACCATGCCCAGGTTTAGGAAATCTAACAAGAAAGCATGTGTCTTTCACTCCAATTGTTTGATATTTTTTGAAGTTATTCTCATGGTTCCTACATGTTCCTACGCCGGTATTTAGCGGCTAAGGACCCGAATGGTGATTTCATGGCGGACGAACTCCCCAGCGGTTCGAACCTCTCTCTCTTGAGATCCAATTTGGATGGCGAAGATGCAGTCACGCCTGAAGATCAGGCTGCTGCTAACTCAGGGTCTTTCAAGCTTCTTGCCATGGTTTTACTTTGTAATATCTTATAATGATCTATAACGATGTCTAAGTCTAAGGTAGGTAGGCCACCTTCATAATTTCTATCCTGGATTTCACACCATGGAAATTTGTTTATCCTGACGAGCTTAGGCTGGTCTTTCCGACGGTGCAGGAGAATGCCAGTGCCCTGACCATCCTGCCTCAGTGGGTTGAAGTTTGTGGACGGAAGATTGACCAGTCCGCTGCTGTTCTGGACCGGGGTTCTTAAACAATCTCATATTTGTATCACCAAAAGCACAGTGCATAGTTAAATTTCTGTTTTTCCAAATCCCTCAAACATCACTGACGTCGTGGTGCATATAGGACAAACTCAATGGAAATCCCAGCCGCCAAGCAGCAGAGTTCAGGACTTAGACTTCCAACTTACCACCATGAGCTTCTTTAGAAAATTCAAACAGCTTTACATAGTGAATTCAAACAGTTTTATATCAAACAGTACCCCTTACTCTAAATTGATCCCGCTCAGGATGGCCAAGCAGATTCAGATCCAGGTCAACCACTTGAAGTCGATCTATGAGAAGCTGGAAGGGCACCAAGCAGAACTTGCTGCCACCCGCACGTCCAGGTGATTGGTCCCAACTTCTAGACTAACAGCACCCCTTCAGATCAAGACACTGGAAACTAGCTGAAACACATGTGTCGCCAGAATCATGGAATAATGGATTACTATAGCCACTTGGCAGGCCGGATGTCCAGAAGGATATTCTGAAGCTGTGTGCTGAAGCGACCAAGACGGATGTGGCACTGAATAACCTAGTTGTGAGATCCAGGACTGAAACCTGGTCGAATCAAATCATTAACAGTGTTAACAGTGTCAACCCTGTCAACCCCACCAGACACCCTCCATTTAGCGCCTCAGCGATGCCAGGACCATCAAGAGCTCGAAGGCACCGAAGGCAAAGTCGGCTCCTAAGCAGAAAGCCCCGGCAGTGGCAAAGTCCAAGCCATCGGGTTCGGGGGGTGCGAAAGCACCTAAGCCTGTGAAGAAGGCGTAGTGCTGATGATGTTGGATTTCTTTTTGGTATCCTTTGGGACAGGTGTTGGAATTCCCACACCCACTAATTACCTATCCTTGCAATTAGAAGTTGCCACCTTGCTTTGGGTGCGGAATACCCAGGGTATTTCACTTGGCACGTAGCAGCTTCCTAGGATTGCAGGGCTTACAAATCCTGACTCTTGACATTTGATTGGACATGGGATCAACGCAGCATGTGCGACAAAAGGAGTAGCGGAAGTGCATTGTTAGAAATTGAGTGAATTGACAACATGCCCCATGGAGATCTATAATTCCCCACGCAGGTGTATCTCGAGATGATTTGATCATTTCCCGTGACAACCGTGAAGATCATGAAGGCTGGGTTACTTTCCCTTCCTCCCTGCAGGGTTGCTGGCTCCTGCTGCACAGGCTCCAACAGCGACAATGACTCCAACCTGGCGGATGAGCTCTTGACAGGCTTTGAGGAGGGTGTTTCTTGACCAAGTGCTTGATCTTGACAATAGCTGTGATTAACCAATGTTAACCATATGAATATTATATGGATATTGAAGTATAATATAATATAATATAATATAACATAAATTAACATAATATGTAGATGGCATCCTGCATATCCATAGACGTAATATATACATTATAAAAGTGTCAGCATTCGACCTAAGGCTGCAACAGCTGCTCGAGTTACACGGCTAGCTCGAGTGGCCACCAACAAGTTGAAAAAACATGGCAACTCGGTATTTGAAAATTTCAAACGACATAGAAATTCACCATGTTTGGGTTTGTGTTGTGATCCCCATATATGGCCACCACCAGCCCAGAGATTCTTTTAGTGTGTCTTCTCTGTCTCTGAGGCATTTCTGATCCTCTTCTGAAGCGAATGGCAAAATGTGCCAAATCGAAGAAGGACCCTCATGCGTGTGAGAATCTCCACAACCTGATTAGAAACAATGGGAACCAATTGCCTGTCAAAGTCAGCACAGTACCGTGCTGGATCCGAACATCCAGGAAACGAGTGCATCAAGTTCTGACCAACTATCCAGTCCTACGAGTGGTAGATTGGGTTAAAACAATTTTCAGCTATGGAGGTCATTTTTTCCTCGGCGGAAAGTCCTTGGATGATGCTGGTTCCTTTCGAGAAGATTTGACTACATTCTGGCGAAACTACCAGGTTATTGATCCCAGTTTGCCTTTCTTTGCGGGGCCCGGTAGATGTGAGAGCTCATGGGCAAACACAATCCCAATAGCGGTGCATGGTGATGAAGGCCGTGGAAAATGCAAAAACCCAATTATGGTTACATCAGTTCAACCCATCATGCCGCTTTGTGGAAACAGAACCAATATGCAAGGGTTCCTTGAACATAACCCGGCTAATATATATATATATATATATTTTTTTTGATGTATGATTTACTTTTATGGGGCCTGGGAGTCAACTTCACAACTTACAATTTCTTCTCCCGATTTTTGCCACAGCCCAGGCCTTCGATGTGCACTAGGTTGCTGTTCACCGTCCTGCCATCACCGTACTCGAAGAAAACTTTCCACAAACTCTTGCAAGTTCTCACGGACGATTTGATCGATCTAGAGACAAACGGTCTGACAGTTTCTCCACCATTATTTGTGTATCTATTTCATTTTTGCAGTGTACCAGTTGGAAGATATATGGACATCTAGTGTTTCCAATGGATTGGCACAAGAGTTTGTGTTCTGACGATTCAACATCCGAGGTTTCTTGGAAGGGGACTTCACATCACTTCAGGTTCGTGATGATTGCAACAAAAGGAGACTGGCCATTCTTGCGATCAGCATATTCCCTAAACTGTGGGTTTAACTGCCGTGACAAGTGCCACAGATGCGATGTCAGGGAACCTTATCAAAAAAACTATCATTTTTTTTATATGTCTTAATTTCGGGACCGTGGATAAACATATGAATATTGCATGAGCCAAGTCAGATACCCTCTACATATCATTTGCCATAGTAGCAGCAATAGATCTTATTGTATGATGCCTAGCCTTATCACCTGAACCAGCCAAGTTTCCACCCCCGATTCACGCCTTGCCCAGGAATGGTGGGATGTCAAAGGCGTTGTCAAGGCCTTGACACCGGATGCGACAAACCCAGACCCCTTCAAGCAAGGGGTGAAAAGCCCTTTAAGGGATCTGCCGTTGGGAGATTGCACCAAGTACATCAAAATCGATCCAGCCCATACCTTTGCAATAGATGGTGTTGGCAAAGACTTCTTGGCCAGTTCAATCATAATTCTATGCCGGGCAGGGCACTTTGGAAATGGATCAATACCCCATCGATTTCAGAATGCCTATTCAAACTTCATTGCCTTTTGCAACGCACGGAAGAAGAACACTAGCATCAGTGAATTTGATTACTCGACCTTCAAACTCCCCCAAAATTCGTTCCTTGTTCTTTGAATTTTAGTTGGCTTTTGACACCTCAATATGACCATAGAACAATTGAAGTTGAGATATGTTCATTTGTTTTGCAGTGGTGGCCCTCCAAATGTTTGAGATAGTGCAATTGACAGAACCTTAGCTGGTTACCCCGAAAACAGATCAGCCTACTTAAATAATAATGGGGTTAGAGGGGAGGTTCATGAAACAATTCTTTCATTACCATCTCCAAACTAAGGCTGAACAAATTTCCACGTGGCCTTGGTAAAGGTCATGATGCAGCTGTTCTTGGTGCTTGGTTAGCCGAAGAAATGCAACAACTATCCATGGACCGAATGGAATTTTGGCAGGGTTACCTATGTCCAAATCATCTTATATAGCCTATGCTATGTATATGATAATTTATGATGACCATCAGTTTGGGTACCACATATCTCACCTTTAAGATGGAAACCATTCAGGATGGGATCTTCAGAGACATTGTGGCGGTGGTCAAGTGCAGCGTTTGTGCTAGCGATTCATTCTGGCGTACCATTTATGGACAAGGGATTTGGATACCCCGTGCTGTGGCCCAACAGCTGGTGGTAGATGGATGGAAATTAAGTGTTCCTAGGCTCCAAGTGTTAAAGTTCTACTTTTTATTTTCCCACTTGATTTTAAAAATATGATTGGTCCCCAGCCATTGGTATTTCTAAACCGATGTCCTTATGCCCCTCAGGATGGTTACTCGACACTGGCATCCCTGTGCTCCAAAGCAGGGTTCTATGGCTACCAGGTCCGTCCAAAAGTTCATATGTTAGCCCACATAGTGCTTCTTGACAAGTATTGATAGTTGTGTTGGTTAGCCGTACTACCAGTATTTTTTGTGACTTTTTTAATTTTTATGGTTCCATGAAAACTTTGTTTGAGCAAATCTTCCTAGGCTTGACATACAACACCAGCTGATGATTCCTGAGTGCGAGTGGATTTTAAATCCAGCGATCAACATGACGTGGTCCGATGAGGATTTTATAGGGCGGGTGAGCCGGGTGAGTCGAAGAACTCACTCGGCCACCACTGCCCGAAGAACCATTGATCGTTGCTTAGGCCTATACCGCAGGCAGTGGATTAGCATCTTCAGTTCCAGCTACAAGGATCCACCAGGGGAATCATAAAAGGCCATCCCAACTTCCCTAGTAATTATATAATAGAATTCAATTTCATAAATCTCTGAGAATTTTATGGTTCCTTGACCTCCTTGTCAAGACTTGGGAGCCCGGCAGCCAGATGGAGGAAAGATCTCGAAGTTGGTGTGGTAGCAGCTGGTGATAGCAGGGGCTTGTGGGGGTTAAGTTATAAATATACTTCATATATATGATGGTATCTTTCATGAACAAACTAAACGAACACTTTTATTTGAAACGAGCACTTTTAGTGGGGAACGTACTGAAATCTTGAAATCGTACCAAAAAAAAAGGGTACTCTTTTTTGTGGCTGTTTCGGATCTCTAGGTATATATATATGCTGTTTTTTTTACATATATACATATATGTATTTATATATATATATATATAAATAAGCAAACAATATATGACATGAAAGAAACATAGCAAGAAGTTCTCCCCAATCCCTCACAAAGCGGTTTGATCCGCTGCCTTTGGCGACATTTGTGCTTTCTATGAGAAGTTCAAGGATCAGAGGCCTATATTAGCATAGCATAGTATAGCAAAATAAAGTGGGATTCATACCTATAGCCACCGCAGGCTAAAATTTGAGCCCGAGCGGGTTTTGACCTATTTTTCTGCCTGACCCTGGAAATCCCGCCTGACCCTAAATCCTCGCCTGTAGGGAAATTTGTGCGTTTTTGTTTTGATTCACTGTTCCGCATTTCTTCTTCGCCATTCCTGGACAAACGAGTCCGCAAAAAACAAACTATGGCCAGTAGATAAAACCTTTCCTCGCGAATTCCCTTCTGTTTCCCGGGTATTCCCGCCTGTTTTCCGGGTATTCTCGCCCGACTTGCTTTGACACAATTTTTAAAAACTTGCCTGAACTGCACATGCAAGAGAAAATTCAAGCCCTGATTGTTCGGGGAAGATATCTTTAGACCTACTTTGTCAAATTGCAATTCTTGCCTAAATAGCATTTCTTGCCCGAATTGGCAGTCAGGCTATTTTTCAGCCCGATCACAGAAAAGGCTACTATTCCAGTTCAGCCCCAAATTTCTGCCTGTTGGAGGCCGCAGGTATGGCTTCATCCATCTTAATTCATCTTAATCCATCTTAATCCACTTATACATCTTGTAGGGGAAGAGCAGAAATGGGATGAGCCACGAAATATATAGCATGCTGCATCGACTTTTTGTAGGTGAATTGAACTTGTGTGTTCGAAACGGGGCGAAAAAAAAATTGCAGCTTGGGACCATCCAAGGAACAGAAGACCAACCGAATCATGGAGCGTGTCTTCAGTCTTTTGGCCGTTTCTTGACTGCAGTGGCCGTTTGGTGATTCGGAAAGGATCCGACATGATCCGACCCTGGGGCCTGTGGGGCCTGTGTTGGTGCAGGAAGTGTCCGATGTCTTCCCAATCTGTACATCAATAGTTGGTCAGTGGATCCAAAAAGAAGATATTCATTGCAAGCGAGATAGACCATTAATTATAGACCTACCACAAGCAAGAAGCGGCTTTGATTCAGGGTTCAGGATGGTTCGGGTGCCTGCAGGTTCTAACTTCATCATTAAAGATGGGCCCTAGTTATATACACAAGGCCCAGTTGACCTAGGTTTGCGCAGATATAACTCCATTAAATTGTTTGGTGGTGACTTTCTCCGGTAGGGTGCTCGTAAATTCTCAATCTCAATTCTCACTCTTCTCTGGTTGGAGACACATGATATTCCAAGAACGCACCAAAGGCGCAGATCTGGTAAACCCTACTGTATGTTTCAATATATTATATTTATATAATATATATATATATATATTAAAATCATCTAAAATCACTTGTTACTATGCCATAAAATGCTAGGTTTCTTTAGATCAAATCCACATTTCTATAGTAACATCACCATTTCTGTGGATCAATGCACCATTGAACCATCGTTTTTCGTGGCCCACGACCCTCATGACCATGACGACAGCGCAGGCCCTGTCGGAGGAAGCCAAGAGCTTCAACTACATGGCGTGGTTGCAGGCGATGGGCGAAAGCGTACCTTGGCAGTTGGTGTTCCGTATGGGTCGACAACTTCGAATTCGGGTTACCGGTTTTCTGCAGTGGAACAGATGGATGCACATATCAGATAGCTATGATTATGATTATGATATTACATATTATATAAACATATATCAAGGTTTCCAATCAATGAGGGGACCCCAACAAAAATCATCCACTAAACTTCATAGGATTTTCCATGAAATAAACCATGATATATATATATATATATATATTATAATATATATATATATAAATATTATAATATATATATATATATATATAAATATTATAATATATATATATATATATTATAATATATATATATATATATATTTATACATATCTATTTTATGTACATGTATCATAGATATTTGTTGCTAGGTATCCCGAAGCTGGTCAGGACATGGAGGTCACGGAGCTGGTGGAGGAGTTCATCAACCAGAAACAGGCGTGGCGATGTCATGTACTATACATAGGAGTATGATAGGAATATGAGAGAAATATAATAGGAATGTGATAGAGATATGAGAGAAATACAATAGGAATAATACAGGAACGTGATAGGAATGTAGTTGGACAGTGATGGGAATGTGATAGGAATAAAATCGGAATTTGAGAGGAATATGAACGGCATATCATTGGAATTTGATAGGAATAATATGAGAGACATATATTGGGAATATGATAGAAATATGAGAGAAATACAATAGGAATGTGATAGGAATATGAGAGAAATCTAATAGGAATGTGATAGGAATATGAGATAAATATACTAGGCATGTGATAGGAATATGATAGGAGTACAATAAGATGTGATAAGAATATGAGAGAAATTTAATAGGAATGTGATAGGAATATGATAGGAATATGATAGGAATATAATAGGAATATGATAGGCATATAATAAGAATGTGATAGGAATATGATAGGAATTTGATACACATATGAACAAGAACATGTTTGTATACACACTATAGGGAATATAAGATGGGATTGTCTAATGGGAACAATGTTCAGCAACGATTGTTAAGGTAAGTCGCACAAGTTTTGGCAGGTTATAGTTTGTTATGTTTCGCCTGATTATCATGCTACTGGTAGCTGGAAAACATGAATTTTGAATGGGCTAAGAGAGTGAGTTGTTTTTTGTCAGGAACCAATCAATGGATTATATAATTTACGTATCATGAGGATGTTGTGTGCTTCAAGGGTCAAAACGTGTTTTTCAGGTCCTTCTAGAATCAAATGACCTGGAAAGTCCTCTGACATGTCCATGTGAAATCCAATCATGACCATCTCTGAATATCTCTGACAGACATCGTCATGTTTCTGCTGGGGGCTGTGCTCATGGCATCATGAAGTATGAGGGCTTTTTCAGAGAGCCTGGAATGGCAGATGTAGACTCGTTAACACATGGCCGGTGGCCATGCACAGCATGATGGTAATGATGGCAACGTCACTTGCGAACTGCAATTGCGATGATGAGATGGTGAGGCCACCCCCCAAAAAAACATAACCAAGAACCAGCAGTACTGGTGTTAGTTGCTCATATGGGGAGCCATTCAGGGCCGAAGATAGTTGATGTCCGCGTTGTTTTTGGGACCCTCTGTGCCCCCTACATCACCGCAAAAGATCGTATCATCACTTGTGTATGTATTTCAATCAAGCGTAATCATCCACGGCGGCCTTTTTGACTATAGGTTCATGCTGTGCCAAAAGGTTTGCACGGATACTGTAACAATAAAAAACAACTCATGATTTTTCCCCCATAAACCCCACCCCGGCACCAGGAGATTCGGAAGCTCCTTTGGATTTCCAATATCGAAGTCGCCCGGTCGAAATCCTCGCAGCTTGTATGGTCCACCCTGGGCAATCGCAAAGCTGGTTGGTCGGGACTGTCCAATACTGTAGTAGATTATCATGGATTACCCTCTGGACAACTGTCCCATAACTATGAAAATCACCATGCTATTAATTAATGATACTAATGGGTATTCATCAACTTTCTATGGAAAATCACCATTTTTAATAGGACAATCCATGAAAAATGACCATGTTTAATAGTATAATAGCTTTTTGTATGTTCACCAGGCCGGGTCTCACATTTTCGCTACGCCAAAAATGGCCTCGAATCATCGGCCGGGATCGAGGCCGAAGAATTTCTCACCAGCCGCCTCTTAACGGCTGCCATGACCTTCGCGAGGCGGCCGCGGCTGAATGCTGTGCTCTTCAGCGGGGATCTACCAAGGATACCAAGGTCACATCCAACAGAGATTTGGTCAAAGACATAGAAGATCAATGAAGATCAGAGAAAAACTGACCTATCTGACCTGAGATTCAGCCAGTTGTTTTGGTCACACGGTCACACGGTCACATGTTTTGGCCCCCATTGAAACAGCGATGTGCCGCGGCGAAACTTCCACTGGACACAGGTGGTTCGACAAGATGCGCAAAGCTGCCGATGAGTTTGAAGAGTTCTTGTTGAAGTTCCTGGCTGACATGATGGGCTTGGCTTCAAGGGGTGACCCAAAATGTTGATGGAATTCCACGGAATTACATGTGATTAGGAACACCTCCACCTTTGTTTTAATGAGATTTATCGGTTCGCAAGTGTTTCTAATTTAGAATTATATATATATATGTGTGTATTATATACAGCTATAATATAAATATATAATATATAGCTATGGAAATTCACTTGACTTGGTAAACAACCTATGTTCCAGAGCTAGACATATTTAAGTTTTTTTGCAGATGTGCAGAGTCTGCACTTCTGAGCCCAACTTGGTCACCATGTGTCACCCCTTTTCCACTCAGTCAGGCAGTATCAAGAAGAAGGTCCCGTTCGGAAGGGCTGTGGAACATACACTCGCCACAGCCATGATCAGACATGAACAGAATTTCAATGTTGCATTTTGAACTAAATAAATTCGGAGGAATGAATTTGCGTGATTGCAACTTGTCGGCATTTTCACTGTTTTCTTCAGCTGGGGAGGTTTCGCTTGCTTCCTTCTCTGTTCCGGTGGTAGGACACTATGGCTACTACAAAGTGAAGCAGGCCTTTCAGAAACAGGCCGAGGAGCGGAAGAGGTGCGACGATCACTGGGGAGTTCAACCAAGAGCAGATATATTGCATACTTATGGGATTTTATGGGTTTGTATACCCTAAATAGCCAACAAAAACCCAATGATTAATCATCACTATCCTCCAAACAAATGCTATATATATATATATAGATAATTGGAGATGTGCCCCAATTTTCAGACACAACCATATTTATCCACCAATTATTGGCAAAGCGGCTAGTTTTTAAGGATGTGAAAGGTAGATTGAGATGGCATTGGTGAACGTGCATCAATGCTTGGCGCGGCTGACATGTTTGATGTGTGCTTTCTCCTCCTGGGAAACCAAGATTCACCATGAAACGCTCTCCTGATCATTGTTTTCTGCATGGAGATTATTGCCTCCCCTTCTTTGCCTGGTGGTTTCAAGGATTGAAGTTTGAAGCACTATCTATGTTCCATCTCCGTTCCACATGATGGCCTTCCAGTGAAATGGACCCTGACATGGCTAATCTGCAGCCTGGCTCAGGTGGGCCCAGCGTCTCCTAGAGACAAAGGAAGCTTGCAAGAGGGAGGCGCACGAGAGTTCCTTGGAGAGGGATCACCAGTGTAGAGTAGTTCGTTTAGTTGTGATCCGTTGTGCAATTTGGATAGAACTTCAGGTTTTTGATTGGCTTTTGGCCAATCAGAACTTTTCCGAATTTACGGCGCATCATTCTGGGATCCCTTCCATGCAGTCTCATGATGGCTGGGAGGTATGTGTCTACGGGCATGCCCCCCCATCTACGAAACCGGAGCAGGATGGCTTTGGAAGATCAGTTTGTTCGTATTTTATGTGTTGTTTTTCTTTTTCTGTTGGGAACATGTTATATTGTATAATCAGTTGTGGTTCACATTAATTAAGTCCATTTGGATGTGGATTGGCTATATAAATATACAGATTGGATCAGTATGGAGTGGAGTGGAATGACGGATGGATCGACATAAAGTCCGATAATACTCATATATTAAGATCATATATTAAGTATATAAATAAGATTAAATACGTATATAAATAAGTATATAATATTAATATGTGTTGGATTTGAGTGAAGTGCTTGGGTTTACAGGCGATGTCTCCCCTGGTTAAGGTCATGGCAAACGCCTCGAAGCTCAAATCGAGATGAGGCCCGATGCATCCGACTGGCGACTGGATGGCTAGTTGAATCCTTAATGTTTTGCTATAGATTTTACCATGGAAATAAATAATAATGTGGGTAAAACAATGCCATAAACCACCCCCCGTCATCACCATTTTTATAGGTGGTATGTTTACCATTCCCAAACAGGTGGTTCACTATTATTTTACCCACATTACCCAGCCAAGGATTACTTTTGTGGGCCATCGAAGATTGACCATGTAAATATATAAATATGATATCCTCTGATTTGATTGGCAGGTGTCAGAATTTGTTCCATTGTTCCATGCTCAGCATCCTTGTCGAGGATTGTCAGCTGGGTATCTATGGGTGATAGTTGTTATGGTGTTTTGGCACGGCCAAAATCGACCTAGTAAAGGATTGGCATTGTCCATTTGTCTGGTGGTTTGGAACATTATTTTTACATATATGGAATATTTCATCATCCCAACTGACTCATATTTTTCAATATGTTTTTTAAACCACCAACCAGCCATTGTTGGATCATTCCTTTTGGGTTTACCCCAAGCACTCCGGTCATTTCACCCAGGCGTGAGCGAGAGGCCGAGAAGGAAGTGGAACCTCCACCGGTGAGTGTCTCGGTTTTTCATAGATGAAATGAGATGAATATTCTTTGGGGTCCTTATATAGGTATTTATTATTTACATGTTTATATATATATATGTATAGGTTTTGTGTGTGATTGTGTATGTGCATATGTACAGGCATGCACATATACATATGTATATATATATACATACTGTAGATATATAGATATAAACTATAAGTATGCGTGTGTTATGTATTAATTTCATTTGTTTGGGCTGGTATATGACGATCTTGGGCACGCATATCATGAATGAATAGATAGACTAGATAGATTAGATAGATTTTTATGGGTTAGATAGATTTGATAGATTTGATAGATTAGGTAGATTTGATATATGAGATAGGTAGATAGATTTGATAGATTATATAGCTTAGATAGTTTTAAATAGATTAGATAGATTTGATAGATCTGATAGATTAGATACAGTTTATAGATTAGATTGATTAGATAGTTTTGATAGATTAGATAGCTCGATAGATAGATTAGATAGATTTGATAGATTAGATAGATTTGATAGATTAGATAGGTAGATAGATTTGATAGATTATATAGCTTAGATAGTTTTTTTATAGATTAGATAGATTTGACAGATTAGATACAGTTTATAGATTAGATCGATTAGATAGTTTTGATAGATTAGATAACTCGATAGATAGATTTGATAGATTAGATAGATTTGATAGATTAGATAGATTAGACAGATTAGATAGGTAGGTAGGTAGATAGATAGATAGATAGATATATTTTTTGTTGGCCTAGTCACGCCAGTTTCTGCTGGCTATGTTGGCTGGTAAATCAGACGTTGGATGGGTACATCGTTCATGTAACAGTCCGACGCATGATAAGTTGGTGGATTCACAGTCCAGATTTGATACCCTATGACACCCCATTTGGTTATATAGTTACCACCTGGTTATTTAACTTAGCGAACAGGAAAATCCATTATAAATAGAGGTTTTAATGGGAAAATAATCTGCAAATGGGCCATTTTCCGTAGCTATATTGATTAAACAGAGGGTAATTTGGTTTCAGGTTCTATCAAGAGCTGAGGTGGTTTACCAATCTCCGACCGCAGCCGCAAGAGCCGCTTGCAGGCGCGGGTCAGGGCAATCTGCATTCAAACAGTCTGCGATGTTTGGTGGAAGTTGGTGAACCCCTGGAATGGGATCATTCACGGAATCAGTGCTAAAAACGACGTTTTTAGTCATGGGACCTTTGCCTTAATCACTTACTCCAGCCCGAAAAATCAACAGAAATTCGTCCTCCAGTGCTTGATAGTGTTTGAATCCCTTTACCTCAGCATTTTAATCTGTTGATATTTTTAATTTCAGGCCCCATGCATACTTGGGGGCACATATCTATCTATCTATCTATCTACCTACCCCTATCTATCTATCTATCTATCTCTATATATATATATTGTTCTCTCTCTCTCTCTCTCTGTTTCTATCTCTTGTTTTTCTCTAAGTTCTACAGATGGCATCCACATCTCTAGCCTCACCCCATCTCCGCCAGACCCAGTCGCCGCTGAAGTCGGCCAGCGCCTCCCCGATGGCCATGGCCATGACAGCCACGCCCTCCGCGCGGCGCTCCTCGTGGAGCACCAAGCGGAGTAGCGCCTCGGCAACGGAGGCCATGGAAGGCCATGGGAGGCCCGGGGTGATCCCTGGGTTTTTGCGACTGTTCCGTGGTTTGGGGATTGGGAGGATTTTATAGGATTTGAATTTTTAGATTCAGTTGTTGTAATTTATTAAATTATATATATATAATATAAATGAATATAATATAGTGTGATTTAGATGGTTTGAAGCAAATGGCGAAGAAAGCCTCGGAGGCTTTACCTTTCGAAGGTCCCGCCCAGGAAACCAAACATTCCACAAAGTACGGGACACAAATCACCAGTGAAGGGGCTCCGGGCTCAAAATGGGTGCAACCGTTATTCCCATGGGGCAAGAAATAGGTACTAACCACTAGCATGAGCTGAGGAAGCACCGATACTGCGGATGCAAACAGCCGAAAAGGTTGTGCCTGCAAACCATTCGAATGGAGTGGACACAAGTCCAAACAAGCACGGGAAATTTTCAGCAAGAAAAATGAGTATGACCTACCAACAAAAACCCAACAACTACGCCGTTCTCATAGATATATTGGCAGAGATGAGGGAGTACATTCTGTGATACAACGTGATGTACTTCTACAAGGACGTTCATTGGCAAGTCCGGTTTTTAGTACCAGTTTTACAATCAAAAAACGAGTATTGAAATCCGGCGTATATGTACATATATGTGTATATGATTTCTATATATATATACATATGTAATAACATGTAATAACATGTAATAACAATAATTCTTATGCATAATTTCATTCGGGAAATTTTCCGCGACCTCACAACAACCTCACCGTAACATCCCAAAAAGATGCTGGGTCCTCCACTCACCGCACTAAGCCCACATGGAAGAGCAAATCATGACGCTGCTGGGTCACGCTCGACAGCGTCTCGTCCGATGTTTGGCCGCTTTTCGACAGTGCGCTGTTTGAAAGATCCCAAGGGAAAAAGACGCCTGGGTGACCGTGTTTCAATCAGTTCTCTATTCTTATAGCATGTTAAACAATGTTTGATCTCTGCCGTGAGAAATTCGAGAATATCATTAATCTGTTTGAATTTATTTTTTGGTCGGTATGTCGCATTGAAACCAGCTTATGATTCATTGACTGTAAAAAATATCATCCATAGGTCCATAGGTCCCATTGCCAGTTTGGACAACCAGAGTTGCAACAAACTCAACATCTTCGGTTGCAACAAACGGGCGCCTGTCCACTTTGATCACGTTGCATGTTTTTTCAACTGTAATCTAACTCCCCCAAGGAACCGCCTGAAATGTAAATGCATTGGAAAAAGACATGACATGCATTGACATGCCTGAATTTCTGAATACATTGGAGTAGGATGTTCTCTTTTGGATAAGCTGAATCCATGCCTTTGTCGCAAACGGTTTAAATTGGAAGTTCCTGAGGGAATCTTGACCAAGTAGTTCTGCAGAATCTCTCCTATATCCAGACTTGGTGGACAGAATCTGCAGAACATAGCGTTTTGGATGGTAGATTGATGTAAATGTGGTCAATCTCATGATATCTCATGGTTTCCTGCAACATGTCCCTTCAACCAATCCCCCAAGCAACTCATTTTTCGGCCTTTTTCGGTCATGATCCACGGAGGCATTTGGACGACTTGCAAATCCTGGCGCAGGAGCAGAAGGTTAGAGAGCAGAAAGCTTATGCTCCTCGGGCAATTGCCCTTTCTTGAACGTGATTGTTGGTGTTTTTTTAACCCTTGATATCTTGGGGGTTATCTTTGGATATCTTTGGCATGAAAGCCCTTATTCTTAGCCTTTTTTTTGGTGCTTGGGATATCTGTGGTGAATTCCAAGAAGTAGTTAGTTAAACACAAAAAAGGGGTGGTTCTGAAAATGGGAGATCCCCACACGCATAGGTTTCAATACTAAAAGGGTCTAATTTGGATGATTTGGGGGTACCCCCATTGTAGGAAACCTCCATATTTACGTTTCAACTGGTTTCTATGATTTTATATGTACAGCGTCCCCATCGATTTTGTTTGGGGGTTTCCATAAATGGGGGATCCCCAATAGCTGGATGGTTTATTTCATGGAATATCATATCAAAATGGATGATTTAGGGGGTACCCTCTAATTTTAGGAACCCCCAATTTTGACCCGTACCCATGCTACCCCCATGTTTATTAATTGTTAGCATAGCGACCATGCTGCACCTACCTGCCGATTTACATGCTGTGTGCTTGGGCAAAGTCTTGGAATTTGGCTTTCGGCTCCTATCCATCCCAAACAACTGTGGAAACTCTAGACATGATCAAGTTTGAGGTTTACGATAGGACATTGGAGCCTTGCCCAGGATTAGATTCCAATATATTCCAATGATTTCCGATGATTGCAAGCGCTTTCCCCAGGAATTGTTGCTGCGCATGTTGATGAAGAGTCGCGTCTTGGAACGTCGGAAGCTTCGGAAAGCCACCAACATTTCGCAACGCGTGTCTTGGACAGAGAGGATGGAGGCATGACAAGTTCTGGCTATAGATGCTATACCTTCTGGTTATTTAACATAGCCATGGAAAATGGCCCATTTATAGATGGTTTACCTATTAAAAATGGTGATTTTCCATGGCTATGTTAATCATAACCAGATGGTAGGTCATACACAAATTGTCCATGCATCAATATGGGATGGTAAGGCAAAAAAACGTCGGTAGATGGATCGATGATGGCCTCGAAGTCTTGATGCTTGGGCCAGCTTGCCCATGCTGATGATGTCGAGTGGGCATGCGTATAGTGTACACATATATATGTAATCTAAAATAAGAATAACATCATTTAGAGCGAGGGCTGACGAGGTACGAGGTGAATCTTTGCAATTTAAGCGAGGTGAATTAATGAAATTCAGAAACGAGGTGGGCAGAAATTGCTTTCAAAGCATGTGTAACGAGTGAAAAAAAAAACTTTTCGGGCTCCAGAAAGTTTTTTTTGTTCCCATCAGAGTGAAAAAAAATAGAAAATTAAGGGTGCATTCAGACCCCGTGAAAAAAAACTTTCTGGAGCCCGAAAAGTTTTTTTTATCGTAATTTCAGTCAGTGCCCTGTGGTGGCATGCCCGGTTGTTCCAGGACTTCCGTATTTGTTCTACAGTGAAACCACTTTTTAAGAACCCACTGCATTAAGAACCTCAGGGGCTGGATTGCTGGATTCAACTCTGTCAACCAGCTAATTGAAATAAGAACCCTAGGGAACCCTGAAATTTTGGTCCCTAGTTCTTATTCACTTTTCCCAGGTAGCGCGACTAGATTCTAAAATTGCTAAAGCTTGAGGTGTAGCGGGGTATCTTGGTGCTGCTGCTGCAGTTTCTCTTCTCTGGGGTCGGATTTGGGGGGAATCGAGCCCCTGCAAATCCGCTTGTAAAAGAGGCATCTCGGAAACAGCAAAAAACTTTTTAGGCCCTGAAAAGTTTTTTCAGCATCCCCAAGCCTCTGGAGCCCAGAGCATTGCTGCAACGACGACAAAGATAATTCAAAAAAGTTCAACCCAAAAGGAGGCAGAGGACTAGTTCGAATGGCTTGCGGTCGAGAAAGAAATGGGACGAGGGCTGAAATCCGTTTTGAATGTAACGAGGCGAGGACTGAAGATTTAATCAGAGGGGAAAGTAGATTTAAGACGAGGAAACCGTTTTGAATTTAAAGTAAATTTTGCATATATATATATATACACATCATTATACATATACATTAGTGTGCATACATAACTAGTGGATAACTCATGTAATCATTAGTCACTACAAACAAAAACGCAACTTTGAATTTGGTGCCCTTCGTTCAGCCATCGGCCCAGGTCAACTCGTTGATGCCTGGGCGCTTTGCAACTCGTCGCAGCAGGATGAGACTGTGAAAGATGTGGATTTTACGATGTAACTGATGTAACCTATACGTGGATACCCTATATAGTTACCCTCTGGTAATTTAACATAGCTATGGAAAATCACCATTTTTAATGGGAAAACTCACTATAAATGGTCATTTTCAATAGCTATGTTAAATTACCAGAGGGTAGTGAGTATTAAATCAACTTTATTCTGACGTATTATTAATATTAATAGTGATATTAGATGCCCTGCAATGTAGTAATTCTTGTTTGTGATAATTGGAGGGGCGTTTTCTGGATCGCAGGGAATTACTGGATAGATGTTGTAATAGTTATTTGGCAACAGAGCTGCAGATAAGAAAACAGTGACCCTTAAACTTTGACCCCGGGAAGTTCTTGAACATTTACAGTGACCATACTCTCTGGTAAATCCATAGCTATTGAACATGACCCGTTTGCCGATGTACTACCTATCTAAAATACCTGTTTTTCATAGTTATATATGTATAAGTGTATAGCTTGTTTTCCAGAGCTATAAAATGTGTATTTTCCATTTATCAACAAATACGTTTCTTTCCTCTCCAAAAATGCTTCCGTTAAATTGGCAGAGGGTATTGGTCGTTTGGAATTGACACAACCAACATCCACAGTTGTGGCCCTAACAGTTTTAAATGGAAAACCATAACTCCTGTAGCCTATAACTATGGTATACTATGGTTATAGCGACGGACTGAAACTTAGAATGCCATTTTGGAACCGTACCCACTGGAAAAAGTTGCGGCAAAATCTAGAAATATGTGCTCCCGCAACTTTTGTACTGTGTTTTTTCACCAATTGGCTCTTGTAATGTTAACTTAGAATGCGTGTCAGGTCCTTTTCTATTTAGACATGCTTCACTTGTTCTATAGAAATATGTGCTTTGTACTGTGTTTTTTCACCAATTGGCTCTTGTAATGTTAACTTAGAATGCGTGTCAGGTCTTCAACTTCAGTAGGCAATCTCAATTATTTTATATTTAATGGTTCAATTAGACGGCGGTAATACCATCATAGGAACAGAATTTATCAAACTTTTAGCAACTGGTTCATCTAACCTTGCTACTGAAGAATTCGTAAATACGGCAATCATCAATGGAGGGGGTGAAGGTGTTAATTTAAGTATAGTGACGGACAATCACTTAGAACGTAAAATTTTTTCCATTTTTTTTTCGTACTTAGAACGTAGCAAAATTTCATCACTTAGAACGTAGGGAAAATTCATCACTTAGAACGTCAAAAATTCATCACTTAGAACGTAGGGAAAATTCATCACTTAGAACGTCAAAATGGCCGGCAATGCGGCAGGGGGAGTGTTGTGGTTTGGACAAAGCCCTTGGAACTCTATATGTACTGCATGTATGCACTTGTAAACAATTGTCAGCATATGTATGCACACGTATATATATATATATACACATAGCTTCTTGAAGTGCGTCACCAATACATGTCTATTTGGTCCCTGAGTGGCTTCGCTGAGTGCGGCAACATGATTTCACAAGCCTTTCCACTATCATCAGTGACCTAGACACGTTCTAAGTGTTAAATCCCCGGTACGTTCTAAGTGATGAATCTTGATATTTGGACGTTCTAAGTGTATGGTTTTCGACGTTCTAAGTGCAAGGCTTAGAACGTAAAAAAAGCAGTAATATTCAGAATTTTTTTTCCAAAATACGTTCTAAGTGATTGTCCGTCACTATAACTACTATGATAAAACAGATATTTGAAAACTGAGGGCCCCTTCTAAGTTTCGATCCGGAACTATACGTATTGCCTGGGGCAACCAGGTTTACCCATCTGAAGGGTTTTTACTAAAACCTTGAATATATTCAAAAAGCTTTCAAGCCTACTGGGTTTGAAGTTGAAGGCTGAGAAGCAGCAACCGGGCGCCGAATCTCTGAACACGAGTGCAAAAACCCCTGAAATAAAAGGTATCCAAAAGAACAAGTGAAGCATGTCAAAATAGGAAAGGACCTGACACGCATTCTAAGTTAACATTACAAGAGCCAATTGGTGAAAAAACACAGTACAAAAGTTGCGGGAGCACATATTTCTATATTTTGCCGCAACTTTTTCCAGTGGGTACGGTTCCAAAATGGCATTCTAAGTTTCAGTCCGTCGCTATAAAAGGTTCAGATTTTGAGCAATTGCAAATCAACAGTGCTTCGACATTTTGAAGAAAACTATTTCGGGAATGTTGTTGCGAGGTGCAAGCTTCTTACAAATTATCTAAGCAAGACTTGAAGAGTTGAAAACTGGTCGCATTCATCCAGTTGTGCTGTTGCCTCCTCGGCTTGGCAAAATTGAAGCAGGATTTGGACCATTTTGATGCCGGAGAAGTCATGGATTTGTTTTTTCCAAAAGCTTGATAACGACCGACTTCCAGCTGGAAGCCGGAAAGTGCCGCATTTGGAGGACATGCCACCTGGCTGATGGCTTCATATTTATATAAATATAGTAAATATAGTAAATCAGAGACAGATACGTTACTTAGAATGCCATTTTGGAACCGAAACTTAGAATGCCATTTTGGAACCGTACCCACTGGAAAAAGTAGCGGCAAAATATAGAAATATGTGCTCCCGCAACTTTTTGACTGTATTTTTTCGATAAATGGCTCTTGCAGATGTTAACTTAGAATGCGTGTCAGGTCCTTTTCTATTTTGACATGCTTCACTTGTTCTTTTGGATACCTTTGATGCAGACATTTCAGGGGTTTTTGCCCTGTTGTTCAGAGATTCGGCGCCCGGTTTTGATAAAACCCTTCAGATGGGTAAACATGGTTGCCCCAGGCAATACGTATAGTACCGGATGAAAACTTAGAAGGGCCCCCCAGTTTCCAAACCCGTGTTAGAATGGGGGTCACGGAGAAACAAATACATAAAGTGAACTTTCTTGGAACTTTAGTATTCACAAATGAATTGCCGAATTGAAAACGAATACATAAAGTGAACTTTCTTGGAACTGTAGTATTCACAAATGAATTGCCTAATTGAAAACGAATACATAAAGTGAACCTGTTTGGAACTTTAGTATTCACAAATGAATTGCCTAATTGAAAACGAATACATAAAGTGAACTTTCTTGGAACTGTAGTATTCACAAATGAATTGCCTAATTGAAAACGAATACATAAAGCTAACTTTCTTGGAACTGTAGTATTCACAAATGAATTGCCGAAATCCGCCATTCTTTCCTCCATAAATCCTCCATAAATCCTTCATAAATCCATCAGAAATCCTCCATAAATCCGCCAATTAATCTTCCATAAATCCACCATAAATCCTCCATAAATCCCTCAAAAATCCTCCATAGAGCTTCTATAAACCTTATTTTCAAGTGGCCAGGCGTATTTTCACAGAGCCGATGAACACCTGTGATCATATATGGACATTCTAAGTTTGCCAGATTTGGTCTCCAAACTACATAAGGGTGCTCAAATATGATAAACTCCTTACGGTGTGTTGGCGGCATTCTAACTCTAGTATGAAAATCTATGGGGTATAAAGCGAACATATGTTCACAGAGCCCATGAACACATATGATATTTTATGATCATATGTACACATTCTAAGTTTGCCGGATTTGGCCCCAAAACTACAGAACGGTGCTCAAAAACGATAAACTCCGTACGGTGTGCTGCCACATTCTAACTCTAGTATGAAAATCTATGGGTTATAAAATTGTCTTCTGCGGTGAGATTTTGGCCGCGGTGTCGTTCCGTAATGGCCATATGTAAATTCCAAAACGGAGTTCTAAGTTTCAATCCGTCACTATATCATGCATGAGGGGGTTGAACTAGGAACTTGGAATGCTTTGGGATATATTTCTGGTCAGTCTATAAACTGTTTGTGACATGTTTTGGCCTCAAATATTGGGAAATACTGTGGTTTTCTCACCCATGACTGGAACTTAGAATGTCACATGTGGCGGCATTCTAAGATACCCCATTTGGATGGCATTCTAAGTTCAAACCACTAAATTTTGGAAAACTGGGTTGACATTCTAAGTTCCAGTCCGTCGCTATATACATACGATGAAATCAGCCATAAAAACAACTTTGCTGGTCCATAACTGTAGCGTTCCAGGCATCCTCTTCGATCCTGAGGTCGTCATGCACCGAACCAAGTCCTGGTCGGAATTGGAGGACGATGTGCCAACGCCGTGGCGGTCTGGCCCAACGAACACTTATGGATTTATGGGCTGATTCCATTATATGTAAGATTAAAATTATGTGTAACCATATGGTTATAGGAGTTATATGGAGTGATGGCTTTCCATCTGGAAATTCATGCAACAAATTTAGGAAGTAGCTTAGATTCAAAACCCTAGTTATAACTGGATTAAGCCTACTTATCCCACTAACAAAACCAGGGATTTTCCACCTACTTAGGATTCCTGGGTAGTTCGCCACTGCTGGATTCCATCAACAATCTCCCAGGACTTTAGCGTGACTAGCTCCTTGTTGCAACAACAAGCCGTTTGTAAAGAGCTCAACGACCTCACTGCCACTTGGATCACTTGGACAACCGATGACAACCGCTGTCGGGTGGGTCATGGTGGGTCATGGTGGGTCATGGTATGGCTTTTCCACTTCTTTCCGACAGCGATGGGGTGCTCACAGTAGCCTGTTCAAATCTAGCATATATGTACATACATACACACACACACATATATATATACAATGATGCATGCATAACTATGGGAAGAAACAACTGTTAAACACACACACGCACACAATTTTTTGTGGTATATTGTTGATAGATAAAGATGTAAAAGTCATCTCACGGTCCATGGCCGTGGCCCAGGTTCAGGTGGAGCTGAAAGATATTTGGACGGGCGTGGAGGTGGGCAAGACACAAGGGAGAGAGATGGGAAATGATAGGAACATCACAAGGTATAACTCCAAGAAAGATAATGATGGGAAGTGTTGAGTGGTTTGATGCTTTAACATGCTTTAACCATACATGCTGAATTCAGAGCAGGCATACAGGGATATTTTGGCAAGGCTAAACAAATTGGTGCTTGAATTTTCCATTGCGGATGGAACCAATCTATTTGGACTATCGATGATATAGCTCTTGAAAGTTTTAATATATTACGCGCCTAATAGATGCCGTATATACATATGTGGGATAGATAGTTTATCTACATATGTATATGTCCATACCTATATATATATTATATATGTTGTGTCATGAGACAGAATGGACCAGCAGAAAGGGAGATACTAGTACAATCAGCAGCGCTTCTCTGGGGATCTTGCCAAAATAAGGGGTTGGTTTTCAATATCCTTTATTTTTTCAACGGAATGATGCTACGACGTTTCTTCACATGTTATGTTGTATGATGGGTTTTGCAACTGCTCACTACATGGCTTGAAACACCGACAGACACATGTATATATATATATATAATAGAATGCATGTGGATTTGTTAGATAACTGACAAAGTTATCAACCACATTTCAATAGGACTTTCCCTTTGGCCCTTCAACATGCCCCATCCAGTTGCCCATGGCACATGTGTTTTTTGCGCGGCGGTGGCGTCAGGGGAAGTATCTGCTGAAAAAGAAGCCGAAACCAAAGAAGCAGGTCTGGTGGGCTCGGGTATGATTTGATCCTTCACTCGACATGTGAACCTCGTAAGGCCTGAGGGTTGATGTCAAATCTTAACCACCAACCATTGAGGGCTTGTTGAGCTCCATGACCTTGGGCCTGGTGCCAGAAGTGCAGACAGCTGATGACGAACTTTGCGGATGAGAAGTGAGGATGCGATATACTAATTTTAAATATATGTATGTATGTATTGTAATGAATGAATGAATGAATGAAATGAAATGAATGAATGAATGAATGAAATGAATGAATGAATGAAGGAAGGAAGGAAGGAAGGAAGGAATGAATGAATGAATGAATTAAATGAATGAATGAATGAATGAATGAATGAATGAATGGATTAATGAATGGATGAATGAATGAATGCATGCATGAATGAATGTACGTACGTACGTACGTATGTATATATATATATATGTGTGTGTGTCTTTGTTTGCATAAATATATATATATATACATAGACATATGCACTTATATGGATATATGTATATACATGTTTTCATGAGTTGTAAGACGCAACCCTCATGCACGGTATGTAATGTAACGATAATATGTTTGACCCTCAAAAATATAAAAATCAAACCAATGCTCTTTGACACTTTGCCTTTTGGGATGGTGTCTTTCAGACATTCCGATTTGTTGAGCTCACGATGTGTTTGGGTTGAGCTCATATGGTTGTTTTGATGTTTGTTGATACCTGTTTTCATTTGTTTTCACAACTTGAAGCCAGACATCAACGACAGGTTCATGTTTCCAGTTGCTGACAGGTGCTGAAAAGTCTACAGACCCAAGAGGCGAAAATGGAGGACCGCCGGACAGCTGTTTGGGCTAGGGATGCACTAGCAAATAGCTGAGATCCCTGGTTCATCTCAGCTAGCCATGAGGTGTGAGGCAACTTGGAGCCCAGATGCCACCGAGGTACCAGTGATATCGGTGGATACTGTAGATCCACTGCTGTTGGTTGATTAATGTTAACAATTGCAGTTTTGTTTCTCATAACCAAAATGGTATTGTGTTCATTGATGTTCCCCTTCTCAATCTCAAACCCCTCCCGTGTAGAAAACAACTAAACCTGGTGATCATGCTGTTTTCCCAACTCAAAATTGAGAATATCTACCACCTGCTGCACCCTGCTAGGCGGAGGCCAAGAGCAAACTAGGACCCGCGCCGCAGCGCGTAAAGGCGTAAACCTTGGTAATGGGCACTCGTCCCATGTTCTGCTTATGGGTGTATTTTTGCTTGGCTATTTTGAGTGAGGAATGTGGCATTGTGAAATTGTGTAGGGCATCCTATGATGTGAAGGTTTCAGCTGTGCAACTCACTTGCGCCTGGATGGACATGAAGACCTGTTGGGTTGCACCACTTTTTTTTGAGGGTCAGTACAAGCAAGTGCCCCGTAATTAGCTAAGTTCGTTGGAAACTGACATACGCAGGGTTTATGATGTTTATGGTGACTCTGCTTGGATGGGGTTGTAGCATAAACATGCAAAAACCAACTTAGAACTAGGGCGCACCACCTTTTAGCGATCAGTAGCTTGTTGCGATGGGTACAAACCACTTGCCATATTTATATATATATATATAAATATATATAGGAAAGTCATCCAAACTTTGCCAAACGTTATTATATAATGATTAATTAAAAGATATGCAAAGATCCAGTTATTTCCTCCCACATCAAAAAATATGTTTCCACTTTTTTCAACGGCCACCAACAGCCACAAAGCGCATCGTTTTTTTTTGGTGTCCAGGAACCCTTTGGGGCAAAGCCCGGGAGTCCGTCGCCGCAGGCTGCGCGTCCAATAGATGTCCTTCTTCCGTTGAGGGAGGAGAAGTCTAGTGAAGAATCAATGGGCAAATTATTTACACACACACATATATTTATATATATATATACACATGTCATTTACATATATATATATATATACATGAATGGCGATGTGCCCAATTGTTTTTCTGATTCCTAGATTTGGTTCAAAAAAATATGGGAAAGTCTCCTACAAAATGATGGTACACGATATGTTTCATGCAGTTCAGAAGGGAAATTATCTCCCGTTGCTTCAGATCCATGTGTTTGGATGTTTATCCACGAAAAAAAGCAGCATTACGTTTCACATGTCCATGTCATGGACATCAATGGCTGGTTTTCCATCACCAAATTACAAGGATAGCCTTGTTGATTGATATGAACAATATATACTCAATACACATTGAATACCACTTGGATAGCCTCCCCATGCCCCAAAAAAGTAAACGACATCCACTTAGATAGTTAGATGTTGCTTAATAAAAATCAATCATTACTCTTATCCCATTCTTATCCATATTAATCTCATGTTGTCCCATGATTCAACGGTGTGGCTTTTCAGGGACATTTTACACGAGCCCCTGGTTATCAATATTATAGGAAAAACAATGGAAAATCTGGTTTTCAGATTTTCCCTTACAAACCAATCCATTTATCCCATGATCCAATGATCATCCCATATTTATCCCATCCAAAATTTATCTTGTATTTATTCAATTTATTCCATTATCGCGCTTTAACACACACACATATATATATATACATATCCCAAGATGTATCTCAATATTTCTCCCATTGTTGACCATGTCCCAAGGATCATTTCATGATCATCCAATATTTATGGATGATTTACCTATTCCAAATGGATATGTTTCCATTGATTATCCCATGGTTATCCCATATATTTGTCCCATGAGAGATGGGTTAGTTACATCGGGGTGATTTATCCCAATGGCATCTTTACTGTATGGTATTAACCCCCAAATTCACCATGTTTTCTTACACTTATGGCCCTATAGCCAGCTATAAATAGGCTTATTCATGATTTGCTTTAATTCATGATATATATATATACATATGTATATATATATATACATAGTACATAGTGTTATAAGAATTATACTTCCATTAAACATACAGTAACTGTTTGTTAGTGCCGTCCTGGGGGTACACCTCTCCCATTCGTGAATTAGGCAGCGCAGTGAGTGCCATCCTGGGCATCCAAGCCACGAAGGAGGCGGACGCCACGGCGGCCCGGGAAGCGCAGCTGCGAGCGGAGGCTGAGGCGCACGCACAGCAGCAGGCGGAGGCCAACCGCTGGGAAGCAGCTGGGAATCCGAGGGGAGGTGTACTTTAACTGGTTGGTGGTGACTGGATGAATCTATGTTGGTTAATCTATGGTTAATCTATGGTTAATCTATGGTTAATCTATGGTTAGTAATGGTTAATCTATGGTTAATCTATGGTTACCCTATGGTTAATCTATGGTTAATCTATGGTTAATATCTGGTTAATCTATGGTTAATCTATGGTTAATCTATGGTTAATAATGGTTACCCTATGGTTAATCTATGGTTAATCTATGGTTAATCTATGGTTAATCTATGGTTAATCTATGGTTAATAATGGTTAATCTATGGTTAATCTATGGTTAATCTATGGTTAATATCTGGTTAATCTATGGTTAATCTATGGTTAATCTATGGTTAATCTATGGTTAATCTATGGTTAATCTATGGTTAATCTATGGTTAATCTATGGTTAATCTATGGTTAATCTATGGTTAATCTATGGGTTAATCTATGGTTAATCTATGGTTAATCTATGGTTAATCTATGGTTAATCTATGGTTAATCTATGGTTAATCTATGGTTAATCTAATGGTTAATCTATGGTTAATCTATGGTTGGTATTATCTATGGTTAATCTATGGTTAATCTATGGTTAATCTATGGTTAATCTATGGTTAATCTATGGTTAATCTATGGTTTATCTATGGTTAATCTATGGTTAATCTATGGTTAATCTATGGTTAATCTATCTATGGTTTATCTATAGTTAATCTATGGTTAATCTATGGTTAATCTATGGTTAATCTATGGTTAATCTATGGTTAATCTATGGTTAATCTATGGTTAATCTATGGTTAATCTATAATCTATGGTTTATCTATGGTTTATCTATGGTTAATCTATGGTTAATCTATGGTTAATCTATGGTTAATCTATGGTTAATCTATGGTTTATCTATGGTTTATCTATGGTTTATCTATGGTTAATCTATGGTTAATCTATGGTTAATCTATGGTTAATCTATGGTTAATCTATGGTTAATCTATGGTTAATCTATGGTTTATCTATGGTTAATCCTATGGTTAATCTATGGTGGTTAATCTATGGTTAATCTATGGTTAATCTATGGTTAATCTATGGTTAATCTATGGTTAATCTATGGTTAATCTATGGTTAATCTATGGTTAATCTATGGTTAATCTATGGTTAATCTATGGTTAATCTATGGTTAATCTATGGTTAATCTATGGTTAATATCTGGTTAATCTATGGTTAATATCTGGTTAATCTATGGTTAATCTATGGTTAATCTATCGTTAATCTATGGTTAATCTATGGTTAATCTATGGTTAATCTATGGTTAATATCTGGTTAATCTATGGTTAATCTATGGTTAATCTATGGTTAATCTATGGTTAATATCTGGTTAATCTATGGTTAATCTATGGTTAATCTATGGTTAATCTATGGTTAATCTATGGTTAATATCTGGTTAATCTATGGTTAATCTATGGTTAATCTATGGTTAATCTAGGGTTAATAATGGTTAATCTATGGTTAATAATGGTTAAGTTAATCTATGGTTAATCTATGGTTAATCTATGGTTAGTAATGGTTAATCTATGGTTAATCTATGGTTAATCTATGGTTAATCTATGGTTAATAATGGTTAATCTATGGTTAATCTATGGTTAATCTATGGTTAATAATGGTTAATCTATGGTTAATCTATGGTTAATCTATGGTTAAGCTATGGTTAATCTATGGTTAATCTATGGTTAATCTATGGTTAATCTATGGTTAATCTATGATTAATCTATGGTTAATCTATGGTTAATAATTGGAATACCAATATATCTAGTTGGTGGTGACTGGAACATGTTTAGGAAAACCATAGGAAAACCCATAGCTTAATGATGGTTAGTAAAGGTTAATTATGGTTAATAATGGCTGGTTGGTGGTGACTGGAACATGGCTGGATTATGACTTTCCATTTATTGGGAATAATACTCCCAACTGACTAATATATTTTACAGAGGGGTTCAAACCACCAAACTTGTGACAAATTGATGCCAATTGGGTATCTTGGGAAACGTTTGCATATTTTGCATATTTTGCATATCTTGCATATTTTGCATATTTTGCATATTTTGCATATTTTGCATGGGTCAAAGATTGTCACTGGCCGTGATAAATCTGTGGTGAATTACTAGGGACTTAATATGTTTATCCCAGACTTGATTCATCTCATGTCTGACCGAAGGTGTTTGGATACGTCAGGTTCTCGCTGACAATGAAAGTGGAATTTAAGACCCCAGATTTGCGGATATACGCTCATTTGTTTAGAGAAGGTAGAACGGTAGAACGCGCAAACAAAATGCAAACAAAATGTGTCCAAAACCCCTATGGCCCCAAGAATTGAAGGAGTTTAAACGTTGCGGGGAAACCATCAATTGGCAGGCAACCGCAGCTTGGGAGCAGGCAGAGGTGCCTTTACGGCTGACGGAGTATGCCACTTTTATGGCCCAACATAACAGTAATCTTAATGGGGTTGTAATTCCTGTAACTATGGGTTTGTAATGTTATAATATGTTAATATCATTGTAAGATATTAATGACCCCCTTATAAGCCAGATAACTATAGATAGCTGTTCAGGGCCACAAGTGTGAGGGACAGATGTGGGAATCAATGGTTCCATCCAGAAGTTGGCAACTGGCTACATGTTCTTATATATATATATTGATTTTGGGATTGCTACTATTCATGAGAAGCCGGATGAAGCAAAATCAGGTGTGGAGTTTCCATCCACATTTTGGCTGATTTTCCAGTAGTATCAAGTCAGTTACCATCGAATTCCGTGACAATATGAATATTGTGGTATATCATTCCAGGTAAAATTACATTATACCTTACATTACAGGTATCATTCCGTTGTTTTTCTCATCATATGTTTTAGTTTTTGTTTGTGTCGTCATTAAATCAAGCGTGCATTCATATCTCTTTTGAATGAGCCCCCGGACAGTCAGGCCTCTCCAGGTGTTCAAAGCTAGCGAAGCCATAGGTTGATGTAGCTAGGAACATTTATTAGCCATGTCGTGTGGCCACGGCCAGATTTCTAATTCCTAAGGTAGAATGAAGGTTTTTGCTGGTAACTGCTCACCAATGTTACATTCCTCCTTTTTGCAGGATCAAACTTCCCTGGATTGTTTTTCCCCCCGCTGCAAAGTCAATGTCAAGGAGGATGATATTGAGGACTTGTACAACTTCCCGCCGCATTTCTCGTTGGTGGACGTGCAACTCTTGTTGAGTGGCGTGGTTTGCAATGGTACTTTTCTTGGAAAGACTCAGTGGTGAAAAGGGTTCCTTGGTGCCATTGTCAAAGATGGCACCCGATCCTGACTTCATTGATTTGTTGCAGATTGCATCAAAGATCAACTAACCACGGTCTGGTAGGGACCTGGAAGCTGACAGACAAGGAACAAAAATGCACTTGTGTATATTAGAGCTTCTCAGAATCGGGTAATTCATGGATATATATATATATATATATATGGATATAATATAATCATATATATATATAGATATGATATATATTTATATATATATACATTCCCCTACGTGTGCTGCTAGCCAGTGGTGTCATTTTAGATTTCTTTCTAGTTTCCTTAAAGGGACACGTATCAACACACGGCTCCACCCCGGAGAAGTCCACCAAAACACTGGGATTTTCCCATGGGGATTTTCCATATCAAACTGGAACTTTTTCCACCAGGGTATCCTCTGGTAAACATAGAAAAAACTATGGATTCCATCACCGTTTTGGGGATCCATCAACATAAATCAACTATTTCTATGGCATTCTATGGCCATTTTCAATAGCAATGTTTGACAGGCAACCAGAGGGCACACCGGCAGGCGATGCGGCAGTGACGCGAACGGAGAAGCTGAGGGAACTGCGACAGGAGATTTCCAAAGTGGTGCAGCATATTGGAGCAGCTCAACTGGAGTGGGAGAGCTTTTGCTGTATTTCTTGGGGGATTTTGTGGATACCCTCTGGTAAACTAACATAACAATGGAAAATCACATTTTTTTAATGGGAAAAATCACTATTAATGGTCATGTTCAATAGCTACGTTAAATTACCAGAGGGTATCAATGATTTTTTGACTACTTCATGAACATCATTAGAATCAATGGGATATTAATGGAGTGTTGATGGAGGATATAATTATATATAATTATAATGGGGAGTATGGGAATGTTTGACAATAGTAAACCCGAGGATTTTTTATTTACCCCTGGACTTTTGATCAGTGGAACACCATTTTATATAATAGTGGCAAATTTGTTAAGTACGAATGAATCGACCAATTATAAATATGGGGTTAACATGAGTCGGAAATCATTATAAACGTTGGATCTATATCTATAACCCTCATGTATATAGCAACATGCACAATCAACTGTTAAAAGGTGCTTATCCTCCTTTCAAAATTGAGGGGGGAAGCAAGAAACAATTTTAGATAAATCCAGCTGAATTCAGAAGCTTGCCAATCAGGCTTTAAAATGTATATGAACATCCTGAAACACAGACAAGAGAGGTGGGTCGACATCAAATCCACCACCAGGAGAGGGGGGGAAATCAGCCAGGCAGAGTATGGCAGAGAAGCTTGGGTGGCATGGCTGCACTAGGGCTTCCTCCACGTGGAAAGTAGGTTGGAAGAGAACCATCCGAACCCCACGAGGTGTCCTACCACATGATCGGTAGGTTTGGGTACAACTACTTGGTGAATGATTGGCCATACAGCCTACATGGTGTGGCAAGCCTCCAATTTTGGAGGGTTTAGACTCAGACAACCCATTTCCGGTAAAATGGTCATAGTTTATCATTGGGCTCACCAGTTTTGACCCAACCCAACCAGCCACACATTTTGCAAGAGTTTTCCACTATGAGATGATCAATCTTCCAACCAAAACTCCGCAGATGGAGATGGAACAAAACCTAAAAAACTATGATACTTGGGGGGAATGAGCATCCATCTACCAGCTATGTGATTCTATGTGTTCACCAAGGGTTTAATGAGTCTTGACCCATAGCTATAGCTACATCGCATATATTCAGTTGCAAAAGCGTTTTTGAACGGAGATGCCCTCCAGTAATCAAATGTGGCAATGGAAGCCCCTTATATTTTGAACCCTACTGTAATTAACCGAAAATCCACCATTTATCGATGATTAACACCTTCATGGATAGGGGGTTTCCCAGCCATGCGAATTGTCATGAATTTTCTAGCCTTCCCAGCCGTGCACTGACACTACGCACTATGCCAAGGAATACAACGCGCAGACGCTACAAGCCCATTCCAACTACAACCCCTGGGCGAAGCTTGTTGAGATGTCCTTGGGGGGATGGAAATCATCCACGAAAGCGGTGTCAATTCCACTTGTGTACCCACCTGGATGGCAAGACTTGGGCAAAGACTCACTAAACATCACATAATCAGATTCACTTAATTCATTTAATTCACTTAATTCACTTGATATACTTAATTCACTTAATTCACTAAAAAATCACTTAGGCCCTTTTTTTATCTAAAAACCACAGCTCCCATTGATGGTTTTAACTGGCAAAGGCTTATAATTTACGATCATCCATCAACATGACTTGATTCAGCCAGTACTCGGTTGATTTGGGAATAATGTTCACTATGGGTTGGGGTACAGGAATCCACACCGCGAGACTGAAACTCTCCAAACTCTTCGTGCCAGGTAACAAGGGTAACACCCAAATTGGCTTGTCACATTGCCATTTTGCTTGGCCAAATCTCCAGTTGTGCTCTTCCCCCGTGAAATTCCATGGAAACCAAATTGAACTTCAATATAGAAGCCTATTGAACGCCATAATTTATGCCATACAAATAGATACACATAGTAATTTGCGTATATTTGTGTGATGTTTGTTTCCCAACGCCTAAACCAACCAGTTCAGCAGCCAGTGCAGTGCCAACGCAACGAGCCCAGGGCCCTGATGCCCGTGGTGGAGAAGGAGATGATGAGCCTGGGAGAAGCTCGGACAGCGGACTCAGCCAAGGGAACGAAAGAATGAAAAACTCTGCAAAAAAAACAGTCAATGAATGTCAAGTGATGTCCAATTAATGCCAACTAATGATAATGTTAATGAATGTCAATTAATGTCATTTAATGCCAATTAATGTCAATGCTAATTAATGTCAGTGAATATGCATGTCAGTCAACTAATGTCAATGTCAATTAATGTCAATGAATATGAATGTCAATGAATGTCAATTTATGATAATGTCAATTAATGTCAATTAATGTCAATGTTAATTAATGTCAATTAATGTTTATGTTAATTAATGTCAATTCATGTCAATGTTCATTAATGTTAATTAATGTTAACTTAATGTCAATTAATGTTAGTGTTGATTAATGTCGATTAATGATAATGTCAATTAATGTCATTTAATGTCAATGTAAATTAATGTCATTTAATGTCAATGTACATTAATGTCAATTGATGTCAATCAATGTCAATTAGTCCTTTTTTGCGGTTTAGATCTCGAAAATTCATGAAAATTCTGGAAAAATATACTATATATATATTATATATATAATATAGGCAATCCTACCTGGGATGAGGATCCCAAAATGGACCAAATTGGTTTTGGATGTGTTCGAAGGCTTGGAACCTAGCCACCAAACATGATGGGAACATGTCGCCATTCCGAGTTGATTTGGGCAGGTCCGTCAGGTAAACCGCATGGTGAATGGCTAGCTGCCAGCTATGTAATGGCTACATAATGAGAATGATAATGGAATCCTGATTGAATAAGGCTATACTTCACCATACCTGGTCAAGGTGGGTTCCTTTAGTTTATCTGTTTATATCACTGTATTTTATATTGATGTTTCATTAATAGTTGCTTCAGCGAATGCTGATCCCTCCGTGAAATGGGGCTCCACCTTTCAACTCACTAGCGGCGGCGCAAGCCTTGCGCGCGGCTCTGAGGAAAGTGGCCGTTTCTTCTTGTCTCGTCAGGATGCCGCCAATCTTCAGGATTTGTGCCGCGGTGATCGCGGTGATTTTTCATGGTTTTTCCAGGATGGGAAACCACGACGATGGGAAACTCTCATTTTTTCCAGGCCAACTTTTCGATCTTTTTGGAGTTTGCGAGTTGAGCTATTTGTTGGTGGGTCTATTTGTTGGGCGAATTGGCGAATCGGCATCCCATGGCACTAGATTCCAGCATACAGCCGTCCCTGAAGCACCCGGAGACCCAATGTCAGGAACGAAACCCGTGATTTTAGAGTCACTGGTTCAGCCTCATCCAGTAATCCTTTTACCCTTTGTTTGTGCTCAACCATCAGCTATTATCATATTCATTGCCACTTTGTCTTCTACGGGTGAGGATAGGGTGTGGTTGGCATTTGCCATGTAATGCATTCTGTACGTTGATAAATCTAATTACATCTAATGATCGCTAGGGTGCTAGGTCAATATGCATAGTAGTATGATGCTTAATGTGTGACTAAATGTTGTTTTCTATTGAACCACCCAATCTCTACCAGCATTTTGATTAAGTGTTGCCTGATCACTATTTGATTAAATGTTGGTTGCCAAATAGCTGCTATGGGCTTCGAATCCTGATACACATAAATTCAAAAGAAATGTCGGCTTACAATTATTATGCCTAGGGTTTATGATGACTATGACATAGTTCATGACTGAGAGGCAGGACTTTGTGGATTCTTCACGGCTTAGGATGCGTTTGATGCGCGGCGTCAAATCGCAGCTGGCTGTCGAGACTGCAAACCGCTCGCACTTCGAGGATGAAGCTTGGCTGCAGCTGTGGCCGGAGAAACGTTGTTTAAAATGGCGATTCCAACAGTTTGGGTCTTTACATGCAGGAGAGTTTAGATCTCATTAGCAGACATGGTGATTCTAGACCTTGATCATTTGCAGATTTTGTTGATGAGTTCAGCGTGACACAATTCACCATGGAATGACCAAAGGTTCTTTTACACCTGAGCAGCCACCATTCCACAGGAGAAATCTTGATCCTGTGAAACAAAGCTTTCAAAGTCAATGTTTCTAGGTTCCTTGTCATGTTAACAATATTTATCATGTTTTGAGTCATACTTATAATAAATTCCAAGCATGAATTGTATGAAGGGGTATGAATGATACTTCCCCATATAATATAGGTTTGTCTAAAAAGGATTCCCCTAAACCCACTGACCAATCATCATTTTCCCCATGAAATTGGCTATACCAAAATGTAAATACCATGCTTTCAGACAGACCAAAATATAAGATTGTTGAACTGTTGATATACTATCCCATTGATGTTTATATCATATCCCATGAATACCCGTGAATGGAAGCTTCCTAATATTAGTGATAGGTAAGCATGCAGTTGTGGCCCTTGACAGTTATAAAATGGTATAAACGGAATTCAAACTTATAACTATATAAGTTATATATATATATACAGTTTTATATATATTATAAGGCCCATTATTACTGTTAAGGGCCATAATTCTGGGGCTTTCATCCAGGGTTACCAGCAACAACCGTGCCAAGGAGGAAGATCGCTGGACCTTTGTCTCGGCTCTTTGGCGATGAAATATGGGGGGGAAATCAAGGCCGTTGGATGAGAAACTAATTTTCAGTATCATCATCATATAGTTTCTGAACATATAGTCTGGTGATATGTGTTTGAACATTTAGCTGGTGATATTAGCTTCTCATATATTAAGAAACTATGATGATGATATTTTCAGATCTTGGATGATATCATCACTTAGCTTCTCAGACAAATATCACCATCAACTCATATTTTCAGTGGTGATATTAGCTGATGGTGATATTAGCCAATATGGGATCTTTGCAGTATTTTTTCCACGGAAATCGGAAAATGATTTGATTCACATGGACATGTTCCCCTTGAAACATGGTGGAATGGAAACTATAGAGCCAACGCAGATGTTGCCCAGACTCGGCATGTTTTTCCGGCAAAAAACTTGGACCAAGGAGGATCAAATCCGTGGACTGACCGAACAGCTTCGGCACCTCCATTTGACTCTGAATGAACGCAACTTTGGATCAAAGTTGCCATAGCACCAATGGATATCAATGGAAGTGGAAGTCAATGGCATCTAGACCTACTAACGACCTAAGTGAGAAGACATTAGATAGCATTAGATAGCATTAGATAGCAATTAGTAGATACATGATAAATCATAGTAACTTATCATGGATGATCTGGGGTCATCTTTGGGACGGGTTTCTGGTGTTTCTGGCTCTGGAAATCCACAGCCTACTGAGATGTAAAGGATTTTGACAGGAACTCATATAATTCATTAGGCATTATGGTACAAATACCCCCAGTGAACTCAAAACTCAAAACATTTGGCAAATCCCGGGGGCATCGTTGAGCGTATTTGTTCCACTCAGTGTCACACCGTGACACCCAACCATTCATTAAGCTGTATTTTGATGTCCAAAGGCAAGCAGAAGGCAGCCAAGTTGGACGTTCGAGCCGAGTTGACCCAGGCAGAATTCTCCTGAAAGGAGTTGCATGTGTCACTGAATTTGTATTCTGGTGGCTATTAGTGGGTTGCTGGCATGTTTCTTTTTCACAGGTGTACAGTGAAAAGTGGGGCGAAACATCATCCTAAACTGCAAGATGAACTTGGAACCGTTGCCATTTTTCCCATGATTTTCTCCCGTTTTCCATGTGAACTCGGCCGTTTCTCCTTGATGTCCCAGACACATCCAGAAACTTGGATTTCAAGAAACTGGGTGAAACTGGGCCGTCGTTCCCTGTTGATTTTTGTCCTTTCGCCCCAACCAAAACGTTGCGTTGCGGCCTTTGCCAGGAACTGGCACATCTCCATCCCGAGTTGCGTAGCACCTACGGCCTGGTGCAGAAGCAAAAGCCGCCAAAGCCGGAGGATGGGGCGGAGCAGAAGGGTTTCAAGCGGGAATGATATGGGGATGGGTCCAGTTACCTATGAATTTGCCATGTTTTTTTGAATAAACATAAGGACATCCAGTATATAACATATTAGGGGAGAATGATTTCCCGCGAAGTGTGGCAAAACATTTGGGACGGGGAAGGGGTGTCATGACATGGTGTGGGGTGGTATGTCTGAAGATGTTTGGAGGCCTAATTACTGTACATATATCTATCCATATGATATATATATATAATATATATATATATATATACACAAGCATGATGCAGAAACATGGCCTCTAGATCGTGTATTGTTCTCACATGCTTGAGCACGTTCGTTGCTGCGAAAAACGGGTGGTTTTTCGGGGGGCCCTTTGTTCACTAGCTCCCCCTTTGTTCACACACGGCCAGCGGGAAAAGAAGGAGGAAGAGGAGGAGGAAGAACAAGATGATCGTGCGGATTCCTTCAAGGCTCCATCAAACCATGGGTTTGGGTTGCAACCTGCAACCCAAACCCATGTGACTGAAGAATATGGGCTTGTCAGTTTGTTTGAACATTTAGTGGATAACCATGATAACCCGAGAGAAAGAGAAAGAGAAAGATGGAGATGATAATTATCATCATGTTCCCCGTTCAGATAGCCATTTGGGGGTAGACCGCATCAGATTATGTATACATCCCAGTTTAATGATATCCCTTAAAAGGCTGGAATATCATGGAATCTCCATAAAATTCAGCCCAGCCTTCCTTAACTTTAGGGAAGCATTCTTCTTCGCTGACGACTGAGACCTTTTTGTTCGCGCTGAAGTTCAAACACAAAATGTCGGAAGCGCAGACTGCCACCAAGTTACGACTCTTGGAGGGGTCAAACGTCAAGTCATGATTTCTTTTTGGTTGGGGTCCCCCCAAAATCACATCATTTCCAGGTTTCTAACTTTCCAGAGTTCATTAACAAGTCATGACATGTTGAGTTGAAGGGGATTTAAAGAAACCATACGGGAAGGAGAGTTGGGGTCAAGTTGGGGCCACATGAGTTGCCCACAGTTTGTATCATTTGAGAAATTACATGATTCCCCACCTGCCAGGTGAGGGTTGTTAGATTTTATGTCAGTTGCCTCCTCCTCCTCCTGCTCCTCCTGCTCCTCCTCCTCCTGCTCCTCCTCCTCCTCCTCCTCCGCCTCCTCCTGCCTCGTCCTCCTCCTCCTCGTCCTCCTTGTCATCCTTGTCGTCCTTGCTCAACTGCGACCCGCGATCCACAGTGTTCTCTGCCGGACCTCAACCACGACCACCCACGCCCAGTGTTCCCTGCCGGACCTCAACCACGACCATCCACGCCCAGTGTTCCCTGCCGGACCTCAACCACGACCATCCACGCCCAGTGTTCCCTGCCGGACCTCAACCACGACCATCCGCGCCCAGTGTTCCCTGCCGGACCTCAACCGCGAGTATCCACGCCAAGTGTTCCCTGCCGGACCTCATGTAGGAATGTCAGATAGACTGCCAGATAGAATGCCAGATAGAATGTCAGATAGGATGCCAGATAGAATGAGATAGAATGCCAGAGAGAATGCCAGAAAGAATGCCAGATAGAATGCCAGATAGAATGTCAGATAGGATGCCAGATAGAATGCCAGATAGAATGCCAGAAAGAATGCCAGAAAGCATGCCAGATAGAATGCCAGATAGACTGCCAGATAGAATGTCAGATAGAATGTCAGAATATATGTCAGATATAATGCCAGATAGAATGCCAACATATATGCCAGAATATATGTCAGATAGAATGCCAAAATATATGTCAGATATAATGCCAGATAGAATGCCAGAATATATGCCAGAATATATGTCAGATAGAATGCCAGAATATATGTCAGAATAAATGACAGGTAGAATGCCAGAATATATGTCAGATGAAATGTCAGAAAATATGTCAGATAGAATGCCAGATAGACTGCCAGATAGAATGCCAGGTGGAATGTCAGGATATATGCCAGAATATATGCCAGAATATATGTCAGATAGGATGTCAGAATATACTAAATATATGTCCAAATATACGTCCTGACATGTCATGGTGGGGATCACACGAAGTAGAGTAATTTTTTTTACCCCATATTATGGCATTTACATTGCTCATGAGTGTGAAAATGAATATGTGTGTATGGTACTCTATGCATACTGAAAATGACTAATCTTAGCCTGGCTCTGGGCCGGCTCTTTGGCTCGTACATGGCGAGGAGAGACGAAAGTGCAGTTGCAAGCAACCATTGCCAACGCACAGAAGATGATGGGGGAAGACTACGAGTTTCTGAGCTTGGATTTTGAAGCGATTGTGCTATGAGATTGTTTTGGGGATGATGAATTGACTGATTCTTGGATATTTAAGTAATTCTTGAGTTCAGTTATGGAATTATTCATCATCTATATACCCAAATTATCCAAATATGCAATTACCTGGATAATCCACCTATGCATAATCGCTCGAATACTCAATCCTTCTCGCCGGATCTCGCCGGTTGGATTATTTCTCCGTTTCAAAACCGGCCAACCCCAAAAAATGCAGGCAATATTTCGGAAAAGGCAATATAATTTTACATACATCGGAGGATGCAGGTATTTTTTTTTTTTTGAATCAGGGAAATTATGTTGGAATGATTCGCGGATATTTGGGATGATTGTCCAAAAGGGATGGCTGGCTCGAGCACCACTAGGCCAATGATTGGAGGCCTTCCAAATGCATGTCCATCATGTGGAACGATCCGTTCCTAAATGGTGGATCCAATGTGTTTGGGCCTGTATATAACAGGGCTCAAGCATCACTCAGTGTATGACGCACGCAATCAAGTTTCATGATAATCCCATCAAGCCTCAAGTTTTGTTTCGTTCTTCATGTCCGAGGGGGACGAAGAAACTGGAAGACGAGAAAGAGTATGCGCAGACGCAGGTGCACTACATGAGGCGTTTGCACGTGCACATCCAGTGCCTAGAATGCCTAGAATGCCACCTGTTGAGGCTGACATGGACTGGGGACTAATATGAAGCAAGGACACAGTTGAGATCAGTTGAGTTTGTAAAAATCCATGGTAGATATTATAGCTGGCAAAACTGTGAAATTTTGGTAATAATCCCCATAAGTTGGGGTATGAGTGATATACCTAACCCCCAGAAATATGGTTACCCGCACAAGAAGTGGATTGATCATGCGACTACGAAGCATGATAGACATTAGAAACTGATAGAAGCTGTGTGTCGTTGTGTGAATGGTGTTGGAGTCTTTTTGGGCATTCGGCATGGTGGTGCCTATCAGGGTCCCTATCAGGCTGCATGGAATTCTGATATATTTTGATGGCCTCCGCTTCCATTTAAGCGGCGTTGAGGATGAATGAAAGTGCCACCTATCAGTTGAAGCAGCTCCGCAGTGAACGCTCTTTGAAAAAGGCACAGCTGAAAGCTGCAGGACGGCCTGATAGGGTGGAAGTTGATAGCAAGTGACAGCGGATACTAGAACCACATAGATTCATTGATCTACCTGAAGGAATTCCTGAAGGAATAGCACGGAAGATCCAATGTCCAGTCGTGTTTTCCCAATTTGGTTGGTGAAATGGCAATTTTGCTGGCTGAATCCTCATTTTAGAGTTAGTTGATTAAGAAATCTTGCCTCTTGTCGATTAAACGACTAGTTTAGAGGTTTAGATCATGTTAAATCATGTTAAATCATGTTAAATCATGTTCGAATCCAATCTTATTTCGCTATAGTTTAAGCATGTTTAACCCACTTTAAGCCACATGTTTCGTCGGCTGAATCCCAATGAGTGCCATCGCAAGGAGTGGATGTGGGCGACGATGAAGGCGACCACAGAGGTTTGGCAAACGCCGGGGCGACGACGCCGTCGCCACGGGGGAAAGGCAAGAAGGCCAAAGGCGCCTGGGTTGGTTGGTTGGTTAGGAAGTGTGGTTGTAACCCACTTGTAAATGGAGTATCCCTAGGAATTGGGACTTACTAAGTGGGATGATCCTGGAAGTAGGAGTTGGCTATCACTTCCGTCATCAAAGATTCATGGATATAAATCCCTTCCCCCTAATATTGAACACCCCGCGAAACCGGGGTTTTGTAGGGGATCTATACACAGATTTGGGACTGTATAGTGGGAGTGTTTCATATTAGGGGGCAATGTGATTGTCCATTTTTTGTTACCATCTGGTTATTTAACATAGCCATGGAAAATCACCATTTTTAATAGGTACAGTAAACCATCTATCTCTATGGGCCATCTATACCGTGGCGAACCGTTAAATTACCAGATGGTACTACCAATCGACCCTCCAAGTCCCTTAAAACATATTGGATAACAAAAACCACAAGCTGGGCCGCCCTCGCTAAGTTGACCTATCAGTTAAGGTCAGGGTATCAGCGGAGGATATCAGAAAATGGTCAATGTTTTTTTTTTGGTGGCCAACTTACTGGCCATCTCATAACTGGGGGAAGCCACCACTGTGCATACTGGAATGCTGTGGATATGTGGATGGTTGCGAAACCCTGCACCAGTTGGCACATGGATAAAATCCCCTTTATAGTGCCATTATTGTTTCAGCGTTCCACAATTCTCTTACCAAATGGTGCAGGATTTCTTCCATCCATAATTAATGCATTATATGAATTCTATGTTGCTTATAGTAAACATCCATCTATTCTTTGTTAAACACCCATTATGTACAAATATGTTTAATCGTTATTAACCATCATTAACAAAAAAAATATGGCTGGTGGTTTGGAACATGTTTTATTTTTCCATATATTGGGAATTTCATCACCCCCACTGACTTTCATATTTTTCAGAGGGGTAGGGCTCAACCACCAACCAGATTATGAACTTAACCATCATCTAGCATATAGTAACCATTATATATATATACATATATATACATATATATATACATATATATATATACATATATAAATATATATACATGTATATATATATGATATTAACCATCATTATCCACTGGGGACTTCACCATCTCAACATCCACCAGGCAGCCGCGGCAAGGGCACGGCCACGGCGGGCTCTGCGGGCTCTGCCGAGAAAGGCAGCCCCAAACGAAGCGCCCGTAGTGGCGACCAGGAGACGAGGCGTAGAGATTGCGTCATTGTTTGGTTTTTATTGGGACCAATATGGACTAATTAATATGGATATATATATATGGATATATATATATATGGATATGATATGGATATTATATATATATATATTATATAGTAGATTACAGTAGATATAATTTAGATATTGGTGGGGGGTTATTGGTATACATAATGGTATTTATGGCTAACATAACATGGATATGGATATTGACAGGGTCTAATGGTATAATCTATATATATGATCAACGAACTATAACAATTTGATAGTTGGGTCTGGTTAAGATCCATTTGGCAATCAAACATGGCAATGGAAAATCGCCCATTTGCGAACACAAATGGCAAAGTCGTTTCTTTTTCCCTAAACTGAGGAATTTCGTTGCGGGAGAGCAAATCTGGAAATTATTTTCTTCTTCCGTGGGCTGAATGCAGGATTTTGCAACATCCATGTTCTTTAATTTAAATTATATCCAATGCATTCAAATGCAGCGTTTACATGCGGAACTGAGGATCTCACAGATTTACCTAGATGTTTCAAATGTTGCGTTCAGTTGCCGACAAAAAAACATATGTGAGTCATTTATCAAAGACGGTTTAGAATGTTTAGAAGTGCAGAAACTTGGGTGTTTCGGATGGACCTCTGGGAAAATCCCATGAAATCATCATGTTTCACCATGTTTCACCATGTTTCACTCGACGGTGAAAAATCTGTCACGTTGAGGCCTCAGCCACGCGCTTCCTGGCTGGCGAAGGCTTCGCAGGCCGCCTCTCAAGCGTTGGCGCTGCCTGACTCGAGCCTTGGAGATGGATGATGATGCTCCAGGTGGTTGTTTGATGGTGATTTCGATGGGATGTTTTTTAGGATTTCTATGGGATTCAGTGTGATTTAATGGGTATGTCATGGTTGTTTAATGGGATCTAACCACTATGAATTGTGATATATATATATATATATATTGGTGATTTTCCATGAAAAATAGTAGTTTACCTAATTTAATGGGATCTATGTGGGATTTGTTAATGATAATTATAGCTGATTTATGTTAGCTAAGCTGGTTTTTAATTCCAATATCCATCAAGAAACAATAAAGAACATCATAAATCGTGGTTTTACCCGTTGAGAAACCAAACAAACAGAAAGGGATTATGTAAGCCTTAAATTCACAAAAATAATGATTTCATCCTATTTAAACAATAAACAAATGTGATTTGCTAATGGGATATTGTATAATTGGGAGATAATATGTGATTCAATGATCTTGTGCCCCCCAAGACATGGCTTTACATAATTTGTACCTATATCATTATATATATACACATAGATAGATGATATATAATATATAGATGATATATACATGATATATGGATATATATATATATACGGTAGCTCAAGATAAGGTACCTGAAATGGCCACTGAAATCGAATTTGTTCGCATGTTTTCTCAATCCATGTTTGGGAAGATCATTTGTTTAGGGAATACTGTAATACTTCAAAATTGGAATGAATAGGAACGACAGAATTAAATCTTAGCTTTGAGGTTGAACATGGAACCTGTCTTCACCAGTAAATTCAGGTTTGAAGATGTGTTGAAAAAAACAATGTGTCTTTTATAATCGGGTTCAATCAATCAGAAATTCATGCGTTTGGCAGTGCGGAATCAGGGTTTTGAATGGGAATGATCTAATATGCATGTTTTCTTTTTGCAAGGTTTGATTGCTGCAGAAGTGGCTTGCAATAGACAACTGTGGTTGCTACACATACCCCCTGGCAATCAGCCTGTCCTTCCTCAACTTGGTCTAGCCACGTGGAACTTGTGATGACTTGTGATTAGCGGGTAGCCCATAAGTTTTGAGTTTGCGCATAGCCGCTGGCCGTGAGTTGTTTATTTGCTTTTGGGAAATATATACACATACCAGCTGGCAATCAATCCTGACAATAGAAGATCCTTTACCCTCTGGTAAACTAACATAACTATGGAAAATCACCATTTTCAATTCATATAAACTCAGCATTGTAGATCTCATGTTTTCATCGCATTCAAACACCATGTGTCCATATACTTCCCATAGACCCATAGATGGTGTCCTGCCCACCCTGAGGACCGAAGGCCGGCGCACCCCAAGTCCGCGCCAGAGTCCGCGCCAGAGTCCGCGCCCGTGGGGCGCCCCGGGGCCAAGGTGTTGCCAGGCGTTGTCACATATCAGTTTGCAACGCCTATATCAAAAAAAAAATGTATATGTTTGTGAACCCTGGCTCAACTAAAGATAAATAGATAAATCTAACAAGTTACCTAACATTGGTCGTTTTTTTAGGGTACCATACATGTTGTAGTGAAGGCAAACTAGATGCCAGGTGAACATTTGGCCAATCTGTGGGTTTTACCATCAAACATCAGGGTTTAACAAAATTTGGGTATCAAACCAGGTTTGTTATCGGGATATCATGTTGTACATTGGATATTCACGGATATAAAATCATAGGATATGAAACCGCTGGTATATTCATCTAGAAAGGCTGAAGAACAGGGAACACGTTGAGATAGTTTGAAGTCCATTATTCAAATCCAAGATCATACAGCAATACAGCCCTTCTTATATATGGGAGGGAATCGCTTGTTTTTGAAGTTACCACTGACTTGCACAATATTATCTTCTCTGAAGTAAATTCTAAACATGTTAAATTCTAAATATCTTAAATTCTAAATATATGTTAGAGAGGGAACTTCAAACAATCAGGTTCTAAGAGGTGATTTGACTGCTAGATATGTGGCCCTGGTGCGTTTTCCTATTGGGCCCAATCTAGATATTCTATATTCTGTACACGCGCTTTACCCTTTATGGTCAGTAGTGATATTGTGTTTTATGTATGTACTTCTTTAATGTCGTATGTTAATGTTGCTGCTTATCATGGTGTAAATCCGCGTGTGCATCATGCTGGTATACAATGTGCATTTGTGTGCATCTCAGTTTATACACGTGTTTTTTTCCTGTGAGGATTCTCTACTCATTACCCCCTTCCTTCCATTGTTGAACCAATGGGTCCCAGGATATCACCGAGGTCGACCTTGCCTCAAATTGGCGAAGACACTGTTGCCTCCGTTGGCCGTGCCTCTGTTTTCTTCAAAGAAGACCATTCTGACCGGTCCCGGTCGTATCTTGACTGGGGGGGCAGGGGATGAGAAGCAGGGCTCTGGCGTAGATGTTGCCCTTGAAAATTGATGTGGACCCCCCACGACGAATTGTTTGAAGGTTTTTGATTTGGTGGATACATCACCTTTGATTGAGGGATTTCAAGCCTTTCATAGCGACAGGGAACTCATAGCTAACCCACTCAGCACAAGACAAACCAGTGAACAATAGGCAGTATAAGTGATGCAGCTGTAGCAAATAAGGCTCAACATAGCAGACGTGTTGTTGTTTGTTTTCGATGTGTGATTTGACAGATTTACATGATGTACAGTTTTAATTTTAGAGCCGGTGATTTATCCCTGGCAAGGGCAATCGGCCAAAAATATTCTGTGTTTCTTTTTGCTATAATAGGGTGCAGTACTCTTGTACCGAAGCTTCCGAATTGCTGAGATGTTTTCTGCACACAAACTTTGCCATTGGGTTATATCGATACTGGTTTCAGCAAAGGTAAAGTATGTAAAGTTATCAAAAGTGGCGCGTTTCCACTAACATGTTTGATCACTGGTCATGGGAGCCTCATGTGACCCATTCAAAAGTCACATTAACCAATCTCATATATTATTCAAATAATTATATATATATATGTGTGTGTTCCTTTCAATGTCGGAAACCCAATAGGTTGAAGCCAGTTGTTTGAGTATGGTTTACGATACCATGGTATACCATGGTTGTATAATTTCATTAGGGCCAGTATGGTACAATATAATTCCATTCCCCTAACTGACGCAAACCAGAAGAATCACTCCTTTTTCCACTGGCCATTTCGAGTACCTAAATCGGAGGTACCTGTTGACTGTTTGTGTAAGGTGTACGTACATGCCCCCAAAATATAACCTCAAAAGAGGTACAGTCCCTCCATTTTGATCTATGCTGATTTGCTAGAGGTAATGGGTGTCATACATTACATCTTGACGGCTTTATTCTGGGGTTCACCTGGCCCCATTGATCCATTAATCCATCATTAATCCACGAAATTCGATCTATATCTATATCCCATGAATCCCATCTTCACCTCAATGTTTAAACATCTCAGAACTAAATCCCATGAATAGTGAGATGTTTAAAAATACCATAGTCCCAGAATAGAATATAGAAAATCACCTAAATACTGGCTGATAAGAATATAGTCCCAGAAATCCTTACCCTCTGGTAAACTAACATAACTATAGAAAATCACCATTTTCAATGGGAAAATCCACTATTTCTATGGTCATTTTCAATAGCTATGTTAAATTACCAGAGGGTATCAACCAACCCTGAACACTGCGTAAAACGAAAAAACATGAGTCCACCATCGAATTCCTGCAGGTCCTCGGCATCCTCGGGCATTTTCGCCAGGCGCAGACCTGAGCTGATTTCATGGGAGTTTCCATGGGGCTGTGAACCATCAAATATGGGAAAAACATGATTTCACCATGAAAAATATGGGGATTCTATAGGAGATTGATGGGGGATAATGATTTTAACCTGTTATAACTAACCAACTCTATCTTGTCCAAAGATGAATGGAATTATAACAGGGTTGTGAGCGGATTACAATGGTTCTCTTTCATGATTACATCATCCTTCCCCCGTTCATATTAAATTCCCCGCAGAGACCGTGGTGGATGTAGGGGATGAATTACACATATTTGGGACCATGAGATGGTGCCGTGGTTGGTTCTATGCCCAGAAAATTGCCTGTGAATTTTCCCATCACCTTTTTGAGATTCGTTGAACATTGTGTGAAACCCATTGGTGTATCATGATCTTCCTTTTTGGAATTTTAGAATTCGAGAATTGCCACTATAGGGTGCCTTTATTTTCAGACACATCCAAATGGATATAGGGTTGAACTAGTCCAGAGTCAATGATTTCTATATATAGTTACTCTGGATATTGGTGCGCATTCGAAATGGCTGGACTTTTCAGGCTGTTGAATTATCGGATAAATTATCCAGATAACTCAGGATTTGCACAAGAAAATGGATTTATACAACTACACAATAATTAGTAAGTAGCATCAACTAGCCTGAAATGGGGCATATACACATATGATATGTATATATAATTATATATATATATATTATACGTATATATATATATGATATCAGCATATATCAGCTATGTAACGTGCAACTCAAAGTAGTACAAAGTAGTGGTTTCAACTATGTTCAGGTTGTTAACCATACTTAGTTTTGACTTTCACATTTTTGGGCTGAGTGGCTCACCCACATATCATACGAGACATTGAAGAACTCCAACTTGTAAAACAAATGATAATTACCCCGAGTTTAGGCAGTATAGAAATGGACATACAAACCATATCCAACCGGAAGCTTGACGATGTCTATTTTGGGGTTATTTGGTTAGTCCAACCCGAGGCAAAGCAACCTGAATATGTACACACATATAGACATACATATATATATATATACATATATATATGCCCATATATGCACATACATAGGAAGAACTGGAAAGGGCTGATGATTGCACAAAATCCTTCATTTCTTGTCGTGACAAACACTTCAAACAATTTCAGTCCTTAGACATGGTGGAGCTCAAGATGCAAACAGCCCGACTCCTTTGGTGTCTTAGCCCTTCTGACCCTGACGCAATCTGCAAAAAAAGGAGTTTGGCGTACCTGCTGGTCAGTGTTTGTTCATCTCTTCCATTCTTGTGATGAACAACCAGATTTAGACAGTTTTTGTGCCATCAGCCATCCTACATCAAGTCATTCATGGATAAATTTGATGCCAGGATTGGTTTCAATTACCAATCCCTATCCATCTACTTTCTGGTAAACTAACATAACTATGGAACATAATTATTTTACTGGGTAAATCACTTATAAATGGTCAATTTTCAATAGCTATGCTAAATTGCCGGAGAGTATGGCTTCGCATTTTACCATTCCTGCGCTGGTCTGCTTCACGCGCAAGGCCCACTTTGAAGAAGCGCAACACCATCGACCAGCGGAAGGAACAGCTCCTTCGCCAGCACCAAGCCTTCTTGGATCCAGAATTTGATTGGTCAGATACCATCCAGCAACCACCACTTAGAAGAACGAATCTTAATAATAATATATAGTAATATAGCAATCATATGGTTTTGTTTTTCCAGCCACCTTTTAGGGCTATCCAATAATTGTGTAGCCCATCCTTGTTTGGAAGCTGGGTATGGCTCAGGGTCTAACAGTTCCGTGCCTCCAGCTACAAAGTTACCTCCAGCAAGGCGCTGCTCCAAGGCAGAGAGATTGCCACTGGCTGATGTCACCATAAATGATGAGTTTTTTTGGCTTGAGCAGTCGTCACAACCAGGCCAAGATAGTCAGAAAACCCAACACGTGATGCATTGTTGTTCACATGTCTTATCTCCAGTATTGTAGATATACCAATATATGACAATAGATATACCAATATATGACAAAAATAAATAAATAAATAAATAAATAAATAAATAAATATATATATACACGTGTGTAGCTGTGACTGGGACATGATATGTAGTAGATACCATGATTTCTTATAGCTCTCTGCAGTTTCCGAACTCCAACCTTCATCAATTGTCCATTTAAGTGGGTAGTAGCATGTAATGGCCATATGAAACAACAATATCTGTGGAATATCCCTAATTCTGGTTAAACATGGCCTATTTCCCATGATATATTAATACGTTGCACATTATACATATACTGTATACTCAATTATAATCCATTTGCAAGCTAGTTAACTACCCCCATGGCCTATCTTGGGTGTTATCCCGGTGAGTATGAACCTTACATAGAAAGCTTCACCAGTTCTAAGTTGTTTTGCAAACCCCATGACTTTTAAACATTGACATCTCGATTCTAAAAAACGTAGCTAACGAACTGGGTCACCACCGAAGGTAGGCAGCTTCAGCACCTCCCTGGTCATATCAACATGTATTTTAGTAGATTAAACATGATTAAACCCCAGTTGTACTTTTATGTATATCCGACAGATCTCCAGATAATTCTATGGCATAACTGGGTGACCTATCAATGGGAATTTCAGGATCCTAAAATGGAGGTACGTTAGTACCATATGTTTGGCCATATTTTATGAGGATGTTCCCTAATAAATCTGCCTAAAAAATAGGCCTTATATATGGAATAGGTACCTCCAATTTAGGTGGTAAACCTCCATTTTCCTATGGGTTTTCCGATGTTTTCCCAATTTCCCATTGGTTTTCCTATGGTTTTCCTATGGGTTTTGAACCACCACCATTGAACCTACCACCACTTCGGCACCGTAAGAACGACCCGGGGAAGTCCCCGAGGTTCAACCGTCTCTTCACCCAAACCATGCAGCGACGCCTGCGGACGGCCACGGACAAAGGCGCGGCGCTGATCTTCCGAAAGCGCCTTGAAGCGCCGTCGACGGTCGGGGCGGCCTCGGGGCCTGTGAAAAAACCAGCTATGGCATTGTAGGTTACCCTCTGGTAAACTGTCCCATAACTATGGAAAATCACCATTTTCAATGGGAAAATCCACTATTTCTATGGTCATTTTCAATAGCTATGTTAAATTACCAGAGGGTAATCGTGATCATTGCGGGAATCCTTACGATGTTTTTTTTTCAAATAACTTATTGATTTATGATTTTCCAGTGATCCATCGATTACAATGGATCCGTAATGGATTGCAATGGATCAGCCACGTTTGATTATCAGAGCTGGGGAGGATAGGTTGATGTATGACAACTATGTTGGTGAATTTGCCTAGGTGAGTGAGTTATGGTTTATGGTAGCTGGGGCTATAGTTCATGGGGTGTAACTAAACCCACGAACACAACTGAGGGCACCCCTCCTATCTATGTGTGAAAATGTATGCAAGAAATCATTTAGAAATGGTTCAGCTACGTGTCTACATGTGTCTACCATCGTACATGGCTCATGGCTGTTTGTTCCATACACATGCACACACACACACATATATATATATATATTATATGCATATATATATATGCATATATATATATGCATATATATATAGTTGTTTATATAGTTTATATAAACGAAGGAATGCATGTGTTCTTTTGTTTTGGTCGTTTTTGACTTCAAGCCAGTCATGGTTACAAAGTGGGGAATTTTGTTCCAACAGTTTCCAGGGGGAGTCCAAGTCCCCCGTTCTCTCCGGTGTTAACAGTTCCAAACACGATAATCATATGAAATTATGTGGGTCTGTTTCGACAATAAGTTTGAGAGTTTTTTCTCATTGACATGACAGTGAGTTAGGTCACGCAACAGTATGCTACAAATGTATACGAACCCATACTTTATTTAATGTCAGATGAAATCTGAATATATATATATATATTCGTGGCATGCAATCGATGGGTTCGCACCAAAAAAAAATGAACAACGGTATCCTTATCCATTCGGCGGCTTTATCCACACCACCTGCGGAAGATGACGTCTCTGATCGCCCCCAGGTCACTAGCAGACGCCAGCAAGTCCCAACAGATCACTCACAAGATTTTGGAGTCGAAACGTGCTGATCTCAAGCCTCAGCCATGTCACGTTGTGGCCATGTGTTTACCTTTTTGATCTTTTTGTTTTTCTGGCTCTGGAGTTTCTGTATGTATGTGCATGTGGAAGCTGCATCTCTCTCTCTCTCTCTTGCTCTTTATCTCTCCCTCTCCCTACCTATATCTATATATCTATATATTGTATGTAAGTTATATTTATATATATATATATTGAGTACATATCAAATCAAGCGTCATTCCATTCAGTGAGTACGCGACAAAAGTTATCTTACTTCGAGTGATCCCACCCTGACACATTATTCTGACATAGTTTCTGACAAAGTTTTGGAAGTATATGTATGGAATCTATTTTGACATTATTTCTGGCATTCTATCTGGCATCTAGTCTGACATTCTGTTTGACATACTTTATGGCATCTATTCTGACCTTATTTCTGGCATCTATTATGGCACTCTATTTGGCATCTATTCTGACATTCTATCTGACATTCTTTCTGGCAAATACTCTGACATTCTTGCATTCTATTTGGCATCTATTCTGACAGGCATCCTTACTGGCAGACGTTCCCAGGCGTGCTCCACAGCATCCTGCGCTTTCGATATGGCTCGGGTCCATTGATGCCCACAGTCACGCCGAGATACGCCGGGCAGGCAGAGGAAGTAGACGACGACTTTATTAAAATCGAGAGACCCTCACTCACCGGGCAGGTGGGGGAAAAAGAAGAAACATTGTTTCGGACAGTGATGCCATTGATTTGTGATTTCCATGTTTTTTTTCACAAAGGAGTGGTGTTATCTTTCTCCAACGCAGCGAGGTGTGGATTTGCAGAACCTCTTGCGTTTGACGTTGCAAAGATTTGGCATCAAGACCAATCAGAGGATCCAGTCAGCCAAAGAGCAGCACGTCACTTTGCTCAACGAGCTCTGCTATGGGAAAGGCACTGCTTGGCATCACAACAAGTACTTTCCGGCAAGCTAACTATATAATTATGACATATATTATGACCATGCAAAGCAGCTCATCTATAGACAGATGATTCACCTAGAAAAAAAAGAAATGGAGGTTTCCAATCCATGGGGGTACCCCCCAAATCACCCAAAAAAGGGGGTCCGAGGCGCGCTGGGAAGGTGAGGTGGCCTACTTGGTGGACAAGTTACTTTGGCGAAACCAAACGGTTTGGCAGCATGGTTGGGAAGATAGTATTTACTACATGGGAATTACATGTTTGAAAGCAGGCAGTTGACAAGATTGGCTGTGTTTTTTGGGCCTTTCATATCATTGTCTATCTATATTGAAATGGTTTTATGCTCAGGATTTGTCAGTTTGAGTTGAGAACCCCATGCAAATAAGGCCCTGTACAGGGGAACTTGAGTTTTCTTCACCCTGGTGACCCAGTCATAAACCACTTCGATCATGGAATCATCCCGACGCAGTGGGCATATTTCACCATGGGGTGCTGGACAGTTGCCGCTGATGATCCGCTGATGTCATTGGAGAAGATGGCCAGCATACGACTTACCACCAAGGAATCAGAAAATTTGGTTTCGAAAAAAAAATGATCCCCCAATTAATCGATACAAGAACATTGAACATCAATGAACATCAATCAATGAACATCCTGATTTTTCAGTTGAAACTGGGGTTTTCTGTTGCCATCTTGGATGACAAGAGTGACCAGCTTCACAGATCCAGGGTCAAGCCAAGTAGCACAGGGCGGGGCCAGAGCCTCCGCAAGAATAAAGGCTATATAGCAGAAAAATGGGCGATGGGCCTTATGTCAACATATATATATGTATATATATATATATATATATAGATGTGTATAATATACGTTTATATATTATATATACATTTCAAAACTAGTTGATGCACCTGGGGAATGATGATCCAAGGGGGTTGGGGCGACTTTATGAAAACTCAAGTACCATCAAAACACCAATTCTGTGGTTCCATGGGAACTGATGGGAACATCGTCCAACATTTCACTGAGGTGTTCGGACTTGCCATTTGGTAATTCAACATGTTCCTTGCCGCCGGAAAATCGGAACATCACACAAAGAGACTTCGATCCCATATAGTGTTTGACCAGAGGGTAAAACATGGTAAAACATGGTAAAACTGGATCGGAACTCCTTCGTTGTTTTTAACTTTGTGGGGGCAGACTTTCCAGGTTGCGCCGAGGGCAGGGTATGGCAGCCTTCTGGCAAGATCGCTATGATGGCTGGCTGTCGCAGATGGAGGGCCTGTACCTTGGAAGCTTAAGAGATGGATGACCAAAAATGCCTTTGCCAACCATAACGGGGACACACCCGGGACTTCATGGGGATATCATGGGGATATGATGACAAAGGGATCTAATGAGATAGGAACAGATAGGTTGGTTTTTCAATTAAACAATATCGACAGTCATTGTTTTGTGTGCGTGTGTGGCTCTTTGGGGGAGATTAACGGATGTGAAAGATATTTATTCAGGGAGTCATGAATAGTATACTGTACCAAGCTATCCAAGTTGGAGAGTAAGCAATCGAAATGTTGATATAACCAGGACATCATCGGTCAACAGACTGTGAATGGTTGGTGTACAGGTTTCTTTCGCGCTGCAAAGAGGAAGCACACTATATATAAATTATAATAATCACGACATCTATAAGAATGATGACAAAACGCAGGCGCACGATTATATTGTTACTTTTGGGCGGTGTATTTTTAGGTGTATCACACTGCCCCGCAAAAGGCCTCTGATGAGTCACCCAAAGCGAGGTTTGGTCAGTCCGTGTTCGATGCCTTTGTCCACGCGGATCGGACATCGGATCGGGAACAATGGTCCCAGCGACGCTTGAGCGATGAACGTGGATCTTTAACATTCTTTAACGCTTGGGTTGGCGAAAAATAGTGTCTGTTCTAATAATTTGTTCATTGAAAACTGCCGGTTAGATTGTGCTGTATAGTAGGATGTCTGGTCAAGACAGAAACACTCACACTCATTCAGGGAGCAAGTAGAATCAAAGGGAGAGCAGATTATATGTGCACCAATCACTATTACCATGCTACTGGTCTGCAGTTCAAAAGGAATACCCTTTGGTAAACTAACATAGCTATGGAAAATCACCATCTTTAACAGGTAAATCAACTAATTATAAATTTTGCAATTTTCAATAGCTTTTTGTATGTTTACCAGAGAAAAATCATGTATGAATGCGAGGATTTTCCAGCAAGCCATGTTTGATGGTGGGTACAGGTGAATGTCAAAACCGGACAAATGACCAAATCAAACGTTTTTAAGTCATGTTGAACAGAAAAATCTCAGTGAGTTTGGATGCGCAAATCCACAGGTCTGATGGAAGCTCTGCACGAAGCTTTCGATCGGATGAGGGAAGAAACTCCGAGTCTCGCTGTGGACGTCACTTGAACATGGGAGAAGTTGCCAGTTGTTGGGCACTTAAGGGAGCACATCCCAGTTAGTAAAAGGTTTATAATTTATAACCCAGATATCATCTAGGAATCCATAAAATTGGTGATATTCCCATGTTATATTATAATATAATATAATATAATAACTGGCATGTACTAGGATTGTATTCGCACTAGGAAGTGGGATATCCTGGATATAATGATTGGGCAATATTGGAATGGGCTCAAACTTACGGATGATTTTCCCATAAAGTTTGGGTGGATGAAAATCCATGCGTCGTTTGCCAGCTTATTTGTATGTTTTTGTTTTTAGTTTTTTCACCAAAATATATTAGATATTCATTGTGATTTTGAGAAACCAATCAAAGGCTCTTTATGATCCCTCCAAGTAATGTAGACCATATACCAAATGCGGCTTGGAAAGCTAGTTTTGTGTTGGGATGGGTCCCGCCGTCTGTAGTTGTAGGATGGGAATCATTCTCACTGCAAAAAAGGGGCCACGAAATAAGGGAACCCCTCCTGATGGATTGCAATCTCCCACGTATGAATCCTGCTTTGACATGAGCCCCACCACAAAATATCATTTTTTTTTCTGGATTTGTGATAGATTTGCTAAGTAGCCTGCTGCATATCCCAAAGTATGCCAGTGAAATGTGGTTTGACATTATACGGGTTGGAAATATAACTCTCTCTCTCTCTCTCTATAAAGATAGACATATACACACACATATACATTTCGTAACGCAAGAGCACTAACATGCATGACTATCAAACAATGTAGCTACCTGATATATCCTTTCATCCATCTACCTATCACATTTCAATCTATATATATATATATACATATGTGTGAATTAATATATATATATATATATATACATATACATCATATGTGTATATATATATTTACATGTGTGTGTATCATATGTATATACATATATATATGTATAACCTCGTATGCACGTATCAAACTACAAATAATTTTAAACAAAAAAAGAACCCAAATATCCGACGTTCATCCTGAGGTGAGTCGCCACATCGAAGCGCCCGAGGACTCCACAGTCTCTACGGAGCACACCTGGCGCAGCGGCACGGTGAGTTTGGGCGACGCTCACCTGGCCAAACTCATGCGTCTTGGGCCCATGGCTTGGTGGGCGAAGCTGTTGGCCATACGTTTTTTTTTTAGTCGTGTGGTTGAAAAACGCGTAATTGTAGAATTAACAAATAAATATAATAATATGAACATGTCAATATATGTCAATAACTTTATGAACATATGCATGTGGGTTTTCAAAAAAAATGAAAGAGGTGTTTTTTTTCAGTTCTTAAAGATCATGAAGCTAGTAATGTGGCAAACGCAGTGCCATAAACCATCCCCTATTTTTGTTTATGAAATTGGCTATACCACTATTTAGGATGAGCTTAATATGATTTTCAAACGGTTGGCTATTTGATTACTGGGATGTTTATTATTTGGCAAACCCCATGGAAGTATAGCGATTTTATCACCATAAACCATATGAATCATACCAACGTAGCGGTTCTGAACTGGGGAACCAACAATATCATCAATCCCAAAAAAGTCTTCCCATTAAAATCAATTTTCCTGGTGTATTTGGTGGTGTAAATCCCAGGAAATCACCATGAAATCAACATCAAGTTGTTGCTGAACTGTCCATTTTCCCCGCTGTACATGTCTCGTTTTGCGGAATTTGAACATCACTTTCAAGTATGTGTTGGAGGTTATATCATGTTATATCTCCTCCCCAATAGTTGGGTGATGTTCAATTATGACATTTACCCTCTGGTTATTCAACATAGCCATGGGAAATGGCCCATAGAAATAGATGGTTTACCGAACTTAATAGCATGGTGATTTTCCATGGCAAACTGTTAGTCATAACCAGAGGATACCAACCCCTGTTCCCTACCTGGTTGAAATCATGAAACAATCGCCATGGTCAAGGCAGAGACAGGCACCGACCATCGATGAACCGCGAGCCACGGAGTCGCCAGCGACGCGAGCCACGAAGACCACATTTACCACGTTGAAGGTGAGGTAATGAACGTAATGAATCGATATGAATGGTGTATTCATGGTATTGGTATGGTTAATGGATTATAAACAGGCATGGCTTATATAGAGGTTGAATCTATAGTTGCTTGATGTTGATTGACTGCGCGATGTATACATATGCATATGCAAATGCATATACGTAGACATATACATGTATGTATACATATATATATATATATATTATGTATATATGTATTGATATTTACATATTAATATTTACGTTTACATACATATTAATCCGGATGAATTTGACCATGACCTCACTGTCCTGTCACAGGAATGATGGTTAGGATTGCGCACAATCATCCCATTTCAGGTCAGTGAATTGTTAGAATTTACCCAAACATCATACCATTGATATACTGGTTGGTGGTTTGGAACATTTTTTTTCCCCACCTGCCAGGTGAGGGTTGTTAGATTTTATCAGAGTTGTTCTTCTCCTGCTGGCTGTCCTCCACTGCCTCCTCCTCCTCCGCCTTCTCCTCGTCCTCCTCCTCCTTCTCCTCATCCTCCGCCTCCTCCTCCAGTTTCTCCTCCACCACCTCTGCCTCCACTTCCATGTCCACTTCCGCCTTGCCAACTCTTCGCCAAGCTCTTTGCCAACTTCCCAGCTCAGTGTGCACAGCTGGACCTCAACCTGCGAGCTGCCCAGCTCAGTGTGCACTGCTGGACCTCAACCTGGGAGCTGCCCAGCTCAGTGTGCACCGCTGGACCTCAACCTGCGAGCTGCCCAGCTCAGTGTGCACCGCTGGACCTCAACCGGGGACCTGCCCAGCTCAGTGTGCACCGCTGGACCTCAACCGGGGACCTGTACAGCTCAGTGTGCACTGCTGGACCTCAACCGGGGACCTGCCCAGCTCAGTGTGCATCGCTGGACCTCAACCTGGGACCTGCCCAGCTCAGTGTGCACCGCTGGACCTCAACGGCCAGATAGAATGCCAGAAGATATGCCAGATAGAATGCCAGAAGGTATGCCAGATAGAATGCCAGATAAAATGTCAGATAGAATGCCAGAAGATATGCCAGAAAAAGTGCCAGAATGTTTGCCAGATAGAATGCCAGAAGATTGGCCAGATGATACGCCAGAAAAGATGCCAGATAGAATGCCAGATAGAATGCCAGAAGATATGCCAGACCATATGCCAGAAAATATGCCAGGTAGAATGCCAGAAGATATGCCAGATAGAATGCCAGAAGATATGTCAGATAGAACGCCAGATAGAATGCCAGATAGAGTGCCAGAAGATATGCCAGAACATATTGCAGAAGATATGCCAGATAGAATGCCACAAGATATGCCAGATAGAATGCCAGAAGGTCTGCCAGATAGAGTGCCAGAAGATATGCCAGAACATATTGCAGAACATATGCCAGGTAGAATGCCAGAAGATATGCCAGAAGATATGCCAGATAGAACGCCAGAAGATATGCCAGGACATATGCCAGAAGATATGCCTGGTAGAATGCCAGAAGATATGCCAGAAGATATGCCAGATAGAGTGCCAGAAGATATGCCAGAACATATTGCAGAAGATATGCCAGGTAGAATGCCAGAAGATATGCCAGAAGATATGCCAGATAGAATGCCAGAAGGTATGCCAGATAAAGTGCCTGAATGTTTGCCAGATAGAATGCCAGAAGATTTGCCAGATAGAATGCCAGATAGAATGTCAGAAGATATGCCAGAAGATATGCCAGATAGAGTGCCAGAAGATATGCCAGAACATATTGCAGAAGATATGCCAGGTAGAATGCCAGAAGATATGCCAGAAGATATGCCAGATAGAACGCCAGAAGATATGCCAGGACATATGCCAGAAGATATGCCTGGTAGAATGCCAGAAGATATGCCAGATAGAATGCCAGAAGATATGTCAGATAGAACGCCAGATAGAATGTCAGATAGAATGCCACAAGATATGCCAGATAAAGTGCCTGAATGTTTGCCAGATAGAATGCCAGAAGATTTGCCAGATAGAATGCTAGAAGGTATGCCAGATAAAGTGCCAGAATGTTTGCCAGATAGAATGCCAGAAAATTTGCCAGATAGAATGCCAGATAGAATGTCAGAAGATATGCCAGAAGATATGCCAGATAGAGTGCCAGAAGATATGCCAGAACATATTGCAGAAGATATGCCAGGTAGAATGCCAGAAGGTATGCCAGAAGATATGCCAGATAGAATGCCAGAAGATATGCTAGATAAAATGCCAGAAGATATGTCAGATAGAATGCCAGAATATTTGCCAGTAGCAAAACGTATAAATGTCATGGTGGGGACAACTCGAAGTAAAGTAATTATTTTTTCATAACATATGGGATAATCCTTCCCACTGACTTTCATATTTTTCAGAGGGGTATGTATACCACCAACCAGTATAAATGGGATCTATAATTCATCTAAATAAACAACAATCGTATGGGAAGACAATGGCATTATGGTCATCTAGAGGGACATAATTCAATGGATTGGTTTAGGGGAAAATTTACAGGAAAACCCACTATTTAATGGTAAAAAAACAATGGTCTCCTGCACATTTTCCCTTAAACCAATCCATTGAATAATGGAATCTAATGGGGAATTATGGGAATCTTTGCCTTCCGCTAACCAGCTCCATGGCTGGGGCATCCCCAAACAGACGGTTTTTTTTCAGCTGGGATTGTCCAGCCATGGAGCTGGTGATCGGAGGATGTGAACGGCAAAACCTGACACAAATTCATGTTTTCAATGTTTGTAATGATCATTAAGACAGTTGGAATGATTAAAGTTCTTTTTTGTTAATGATGTTTGAGCTCCACAAGTTGAAGATGTTCTTTCCCTTCGTAGCAACATGGAACATCCACAATGATCCATCTTGCCTTGGTGAATCTTGGTGGATGTGGTAGGGATGCCTTAATGGTGCCGCGGAAGTGGCTGTGTGGTCAATTTGGCATGCCCCCTTTTTTTGTTTGGCTGGTGGCTTTCATACATGCCTTAAGATGTCTTAAACTGTTTCAACATGTTTTAATAAGTGGTTTGTAAGCTCCTAGTGATAGCATGTATGCATAAGAACCCTACAGCAATATGAACCTTTGATAAAGGTTGACACTTGCAAATACTTGCAATGCATGAATCATGGTACCATTTGTTTCCGCTGACAGCAAGTGAGTGCCAACACCGTAGTCTCCGATGCGAATGTGCTGGGCGGGCTGTTGGGGCAAACCCTTTGAGAAGCCCCAGCCAAAAAACAGTCCCTAACATATTTCAAGAACTGACCTGATTGGGGTTATAAAATGTTATAAACATATCACCTACTCAATGATTTGGATTTATCAAAGGAAGTTTAGGGGGAGAAACTTCCGTGTTACGGACTTTTAGAATGTCAGGGAAAGAGTTAGTCAAAGAAAGAGTTAGTCAAAGAAACAGTTAGTCAGGGAAAGAGTTAGGTAGTCAAAGAAAGAGTTAGTCAGGGAAAATGTCAGGGAAAGAGTTAGTCAAAGAAAGAGTTAGCAAAGAAAGAGTTCGTCCGGGAAAGAGTTAGTCAAAGAAACAGTTAGTCAGGGAAAGAGTTAGCAAAGAAACAGTTAGTCAGGGAAAGAGTTAGTCAAAGAAAGAGTTAGTGAGGGAAAGAGTTAGTCACAGAAAGAGTTAGCAAAGAAAGAGTTCGTCAGGGAAAGAGTTAGTCAAAGAAAGAGTTAGTGAGGGAAAGAGTTAGTCAAAGAAGGAGTTAGTGAGGGAAAGAGTCAGTCAAAGAAAGAGTTAGCAAAGAAAGAGTTCGTCAGGGAAAGAGTTAGCAAAGAAAGAGTTAGTGAGGGAAAGAGTTCGTCACAGAAAGAGTTAGCAAAGAAAGAGTTCGTCAGGGAAAGAGTTAGTCAAAGAAAGAGTTAGTCAAAGAAACAGTTAGTCAGGGAAAGAGTTAGTCAAAGAAAGAGTTAGTGAGGGAAAGAGTTAGTCAAAGAAAGAGTTAGCAAAGAAACAAGTTAGTCAGGGAAAGAGTAGTCAAAGAAAGAGTTAGTGAGGGAAAGAGTTAGCAAAGAAACTGTTCCCGCAATGCAAATGGCATTGCAAGTGGTGCTGGTGGATGAGTTGCCGATGGAGTTTTGGAGGAAGTCTCGCACGAAATGCGTTTTTGAGAGATAGCAGATGCACGAAAGCCTATGTTTTTCCATACAAAGTCCGTCCCGAGACGGTCTCGTGTGTGGTCGGATCATGGTCGGATCGGTCTCGGATCATGGTCGGATCATGCTCGGATCGGTTCCGCATTGTAAATGGGGTTTCAACTTTCGTGCATGTGCGGTCGACAGAATTCCATTGTGATTTGCAACTGTAGGATCGTTCCCGCAATGTAGATGGAATTGCAAGTGGTGCTGGTGGATGAGTTGCAGATGGAATTCCATTGTGATTTGCAACTGTAGGATCGTTCCCGCAATGCAAATGGCATTGCAAGTGGTGCTGGTGGAGGAGTTGTCGATGGAATTCCATTGTGCTTTGCAACTGTAGGATCGTTCCCGCAATGTCTAGAAGGTTTCACATGCTTCGGTGGACGAGCTGAGGACGTAATACCATTGTGTTTTGCTAGGGATTGTTGCTAATCGCATTGTAATGGCTGCGTGAACTTGCTGCAGCTGGATTCTTTCAGATTTTGCCTGCTTTCATTTTCTATTTCAATTCTTTATAAAAAACGCTTCAAAAATCAACTTTAGAAAGAGTTAGTCAAAGAAAGAGTTAGTCAGGGAAAGAGTTAGTCAAAGAAAAGAGTTAGTGAGGGAAAGAGTTAGCAAAGAAACCGTTAGTCAAAGAAAGAGTTAGTCAAAGAAACAGTTAGTCAGGGAAAGAGTTAGTCAAAGAAAGAGTTAGTCAGGGAAAGAGTTAGTCAAAGAAAGAGTTAGCAAAGAAACAAGTTAGTCAGGGAAAGAGTTAGTCAAAGAAAGAGTTAGTGAGGGAAAGAGTTAGTCAAAGAAAGAGTTAGTGAGGGAAAGAGTTAGTCAAAGAAAGAG